AGCGTCACCCAAGGGGTCGGGCCCGAGCGGTGCGCCCGCGGCCTCGTCGTGGGTGGCCTCGGAAGTCGTCGTCGCCTCGGGCGGAGTCAGGTCGGGGGCTTGGCAGGCCGCCTGGCGTGCGTGCCCTGCCTCCGCCTCCCGGACGGACTCCTCGGCCCGGCGGAGTCTGGCCTCCTCCCGAGCGGCTTCCTCAGCCTGGCGAACCCGGACGGCCTCCTGGGCGGCTTCCTCGGCTTCCCGGAGGCGGTCCGCGGCTTCTCGCCGGTCAGCTTCCCGTCTCCGGGCCTTCGCGGTCGCTGTCTCCTCGGCCTCGGACCGGCCGGACTTGGAATGGCGGAGGGGGCGCGACGGGATCTCGCTGAGGCAGAAGAAAAACCAGAAGACAAAAAGAAACGGGTGAGTGAAAACTCGCCTTGGGAGATGGGGGAATGAATACGGCCGCGATGGGCGCGGAGACGAACCTGCGAGGAGGTCGGCTAAACGACCACCTCGGGGGCGAGATGAGGTTCCCCCGACATGGCTCGGTCCCCCCCATCTTGCGGAGCCGTTTCTTCTTCCGCTCCCCCTCGGGCTGCGATGTCGGCACGGCACCCTCCGGGCGCCTGCTGCTGGCACGCACCGCCCCGCCCCCTCGGGGAGGAGATGGGGAAGGGGTACCCTCCTGCTTCCTCTTCCCCCGGGCGTCGGCAGGGCGGCTGCCCCCCGGGCCCCCGTCGCAGGGCCCAGAAGCACGACCCCCTCCCGGGGTAGATTGTTCCCCTCTGCGGCTCCCGCCCGCGCCATCGTGGCCTCGGAGGGCCCGCTCCCCCGACGCCCCGACCGCCTGCATGATGGTCAGGATGTTGGCGCGATCTGGATCGCTGCAGAGGGGGAGAACACCTTGGGGGATGAGGGATGCCTCCACGGAGCTGAGATTCAGCACCCGTTGGACCACCATCCTGAAGTCCTCAGGGTCCCAGTCCCATGTGCACCCCTGGTGGGTCCTCATGGAGTCCTCGGGCCCGGTGTACTCCCAGGCGCCCCGGGCGCGCCGTTGGAGCGGCGCGATCCGGCGACGAACGTAGTCGCCGAACACCATGGCCCCCGTGAGTCCCTGGGATCGCAGACCCGCCAGGCGGTCAAGAACGGCGTCGTAGTCGTCTCCCAGATCTACCGTCGCCCGCCAGCTGGAGGCCTGTGCTGGGGGCTGGCTCGGAAGTCGGAGGCTCGCTTCGTCGGTGAGGGGGGTGTAGAACCAATCGCTCTTCCAGTCGTCCCACTTCTTATGGAGGACGCAGGGAATGTAGCGGTGCAGCACCTGCCCCCGCGGCTGGAAGTAGCAGCCACCGACTACCGACGGCGGCGATACCGGCTGTACGGTGAACAACCATCGGAACAGCCGGAGAGATGGGCGCACCCCGATGAACATCTCGCACAGATGCGCGAAGATGGCCAACGTCATTACCGCGTTGGGCGTGAGGTGCGCCATCTGGAGATCATAAAACTCCAGAATATCCATGAAGAAATTAGAGAATGGCGGGACCAGCCCTGCCATTGCGAAAGAAAGGAAGAAGACGGACCGCCCCGGGTAGTGTGGCGCCGGGCGTCCCTCGCCCCGCGCAACCACCTCCCGCCGGTGGCAGATTCCGGCATGAATCGGCGCGGCAGCCCGGCCTGCCTCTCGCTCACGATGCGGGAAGGCGGCAGCACGCTACCGTCGAGCGGAGCGGAGCCCCGTGCCATGACGCCGGCGGAGGAGGAGCTTGAGAGCGAGTGAGTGCGGCAAGGGTAGGGCGCAGGAAACGAAGAGTTAGAGCTCAAGTGGCGAAGGCAAGGGGAAGAATGGCGAGAGGAAGGAAACGAATCTCTTCCTCGGCGTCTTTATACCCTTGCCAACGCTATTCCCGGCTCCTCGTTTCCCGCGCCCACTACCTCGCCCCCTCGTTTCTTGCGCCCGCGCCTCCACTAACCCCACTTGCCCGTTTGCGGCGCGCGCGGCAGATGTGCGGCCGTGGCGGTTGAGATGGGACAGATCGAGCGCGCGTTAAATACGCTCGCCGACCGAGAAAAGCGCCATCATCATGTCTACAGGCGAAATGAACCGGCTCGTCCCGATTCGCGCGCTGCTCGAGTAATGTAGCGGTCTCGAAGAGGCCACTCATTATTGTCAGTCGGTTTTCCCTTGCCGATGCGCGCGATTTGCGACCGCTGGGTTTCTGCCCGCCTGTAGGGACCGGCCCCACCTGTCACCGGGCCTAAGGAGTGGCGTCACGCCCGAGCGCTTCCCTCGAAGGGGGCAATCGCCCTGGCGTAACGCCGGGGGCTACTGTCGGTGACATGGGGCCGAGGGTATCGTGACTAGAGGCTTGGGTAGCCGCGGTCACCCACATGGCCTGACCCCCTCGGGGGGGTCGGGCCCGAGGGTGACGTGGCCACCCCTCCCTCTGTCTCCCCGAGGGGTCGGGCCGCTCCCATTTCGGCCCCGAGGGCTGGGGCGCCCCGACCCCCTGTGATTTTGGCGCCACGTGTGTAGGTTAGGTGAGCACAGCGGGGCTCACCTAACCGCATTTATTGCGGTTTAGACGAGCGCGCCACGACGCATTTGATGCAGCGCAGCGCACGCTTATCCGGTCCGTGACCGGTCGCAGTGTGTGACCGGTCAGATCGCGGGTTAGGTGGCAACAGGCGGCCTGTCACACGCCTCGCCCCGTCCCATCGAAATGATGAGAGCCTCCATGCTCTCGTCCCTAGCCGGAGCCGGCGTGTTAACTCCTGGAGTTGGCACGTCAGTCCCGGCCAGATACATTCCAGGCTTCATCGCAACCATTGCAAGGAAGTCATTGTATGAAGAAGGGCAGACGTGCGGCGTGCTAAACTGACACGTGGTGGACAAGAATGACCGGTCTGTGACTGGTCTGACGCCGGTCACGTCATCGGCAGACAACCGAGCTCCCACGTTGCATCTGCTTCCGGCGGAGTGGAGGTAGATATGACCCATCCCATCGGAGGGTCATTCGGACAGCAGCCATTGCAAATCTTCACCCATTAATGAAGGAATGACAGGGAGATCCCCTGTGTCAGGCGAGTGATGACGCTGGGCCTCACTCAAGGACAAGCTGTGATTTAGCTTCCAGGCGAAGGCGCGAGCCAAGTTTTGGTCAAGATAGGGTGGGTCCCCACCCAAAAGAAGAGTAGGTAGAAGTGGTGCATGTGGTATCCCCTTGAGATATAAAAGGAGGACCTTGCCCACCGAAGGAGGGGAACTCTCAGGCGACACTGAGAATACCTGAACTCTTTAGCTCTCCAACTTTCTGTAGTTCCTTCACACACAGATCCACTAGAACACAGGAGTAGGGTATTACGCTTCTCAGCGGCCCGAACCTGTCTACATCGCCCGTGTCTTGTGCATTTGCTCTCTCGTGAATATTCCACAGATCGAGGGCAAAGAACCTCACCTAGCGGCCCCGGCCGAACCGGCAAAGGGGGGCCTGCGCGGCCTCCCGGTGAGGAGCCCCACGCTCCGTCAGTAGCTATGCCACACCTTCTCCCTTATTGTGGCCACAGGTCGACTTCCTCCTTTTTTTGTAAGAACTTATGTGGTTATTTCATATTGAAAGGTTTAGTGTAATATCCCGGCTTAGGGCTTAATAGGATTAATAGAATACTCATATCAACAAGTTGCAACTTCTTTTCCGGAAGCCAATCTCCAAAGAACTCTAGGGTTAAGCGTGCTTGGCCTAGAGCAATTTGGGATGGGTGACCGACCGGGAAATTCTTCCCGGGTGCACACGAGTGAGGACAAAGTGTAGTGGTTACACAGCGCAACTGGCACTGGACACATGGACGTGAAGACATGTGTTGGTCTGTGAGGGCAGTCTATGACCTATGAAAGCTATCAGATGTAAGTGGGCCCGGCCTGGGGGAGGCGGGACGTTACATTTAGATACATAGATCTACCAACTGGTGATGTTTTAGTTGGCATCCCATTCTCCCGAACCTTTTGGCTGGAATGGCTCCTAGAGCTTGACATTTTCATTTGCATAATTGCATTATATTATCTTTGTTGATAACTTTTGAAATGAGCGTCACCTGATGCTGTTATCCACCATCCGACCACTTCTAACGCTCAGAGATCACATCTTTGCTCTATTCTTGGACACATATTTTGAAGCAAGCTAAATAGCTAAGCGTGCCAACTCGTCGAGCAGAGTGTGGGTTTTATAACTTGTTAGTATGAATAAGCCAAATCGACTTGAGTTGTTAATGAGTCCTTATAAAAACCTTCTATGTTTGCTCGGAAAAGACTTTTATTTATACTTATGCATCTAGACAAGTTTTTTTTATAAGTTTATAGCTAAAAATAAAGCTTTTACGGGGAGAGCTAGTAGCTCGTTAATGAGTCCTTTAGAAAAAAAGAAAAGGCTAGTATCTCGTTAAGATAAGGGCTTCCCCACCAGGCTGCCGAATCATCATTATGCACCCATATCGCTTGGAGCGGATCCACCATATGTAATGCAATATTGGTGTCTTACGGTACCAATGACTCCTTGCTAATCTCTTTATTAATATACTTTAGAAACAACATGTATATCAACATAATCTAAAAGGGCGTCCGTTCTGAGAAGACCGGGCGAGGGGAAACGGTTCGCGGGCATGTTCTGGCCTTTGACTTCTGACCGTGTGTGTGATCTTCGAGACCCAGGGAGCTGCTACAAATTAAATCATTTGACCCCCAATTGGACGGAGATGTGTATGCAACGACCAACATCGATGGTCAGCGAATTAACACAAGTCTTATTTTCGCTTCTTCTTTTTTTTCCCCTTTCCGTACCGCTCCCACATTTCCAAGTTTCCCCAGTGAACGACATGCATGCCAGCCATAGACTGTAGAACCGTCGCGGAAGTAGCAATCCGGAGCATATGTTCCAAAGGCAGAATAAACAATAATACGGGCCGGGGAACAAACCACGCACGCGCCGTGTTTGTACATAGGATTTATATATATATATATAACAGCGGGGTGGTGAGCCGAGAGGCAGAGTAGCAGACAACCGGTCGTGAGCATACCACCGATCAATTCCCCCCTTCTCTTTCTGCTGCGCACTGCTGCACTCCTTGTTATAGCTGTTGCGGGAAGTAAGCTGCTCTGCGAGCGAGGGTAGCTGCTGCGATAAGCTAGCGAGTGGGACGATCGATGGGGATGGTCGTCTTCGCCGCAGGTGACGAGCGGCCGCTGATGCTTGTGTGGGCGGCGGTCGCGGGCGCGGTGCTCGCGTGGTGCGCCGTGCGGGCGATGGAGTGGGCGTGGTGGAGGCCGCGGCGCCTGGAGCGGGCGCTCCGTGCCCAGGGCCTCCGCGGCACGCCGTACCGCTCCCCGGCGGGCGACGCGCCGCTCAACGTGCAGCTCAGCGCCGAGGCGAGGGCGCGGACCATGCCGCTCGGCTGCCACGACGTCGTGCCGCGCGCGATGCCGCTGTTCCACCAGGCCATGAAGGAGCACGGTACGACATGTTCTACTCTCCTCTCTCTCTCTCTCGTTTGATCATAGCCATAAATTTTTGAGATTTTAATCAGGGCGAGACATGGCCGAACACCTGATCTCTGTAACTGTAAATGGCTTGACCTTTCTACTTTCCTACTATCAATGATCTGTTAGTGCTCTTGCTTTCGTTTTTAAAAAAAGAAAAAGGCGTGCCTCACTGGCAAATAGTTTCAGGCTCCACCTGTTTAAGCTATAAAATTTGAAGCACTGTTGAGATAATTAATCATTGTTTTCATACAGTACAACAGATCTGGAACAAATGAATGTCCAGAAGCTAACTATTGGATCTTTTTTGGCGCTCCAAGTTTTTATGGACTAATCTAGCTTTTAGACCTTGATCCATTGGTTATATAACCTATTAACCTTGTTAGAGGGAAGACCTCATAATAAGGAAGGAAATGGTTTTTTTAATATACCATTAGAATTAACACTGTTAATAAGGTGAGTGGAGTACGTAATTAGTAAAATGATGCCACATATATTGCTCTATACAAATTTAAAATACAATATGCCAATTATATTTCATACCTTGAATGTAAAATCTCAAACAACATTTGAATCTGATTGATAACACTAAAATATGTAGACGCTAAACGCCGCAATTGAAATAAAAGCAACAGTGGAAATCTTGTTATGCTCTGGATTATATTTGAGTGTGGTTTCACATATTACATATTTGGAAATTAAAGTGGCTTGCATGCATGTCTCCATAAGAATCAGCTTAGGCTGCCAAATCTATCATATTTTTAATTTTTAGTGGCAAAATACATGAATATAGGATTTATTGTAGCCTCTTACTTCACTAGATTCTGTAGAAGGGCTCCTGTCTTAAAGAGATGAACTTGTGTATACAACCTGCTAATACTTAAAAGAGTGTAGCAGAAAATTTCCATTTAGCATCTAAGGGCTCTTTCCTAGTGTGTGTGTGTGTGTGTGTGTGTGTGTGTGTGTGTGTGTGTGTGTGTGTGTGTGTGTGTGTATATATATATATATATATATATATATATATATATATATATATATATATATATATATATATGTGTGTGTGTGTGTGTGTGTGTGTGTGCACTCCCTCCGTCCCTAATATAAGTGATTTTGAACGGATGTGACACTTTTTAGTCCAACAAATCTTTTTCTGTTTAGATTTGTTGCAGTAGTAAGTCATATCCACCTAAAATCCCTTATATTTTGAGGCAGGGGAATATATATTACTTCTCTCAAATCAGTCCAACGACATTTCCAATACGGAGAAGTCCTACCACATGGTATGTAAAGGTATACACGTAGAGATGAAACCAGATTTCCTGCATGATGGTGACAGATTATCTGCAGTTGATTTATTAAGGCCAAGGATTTACATATGGATTTAATCTTGTGGCACCTTGGAGTTCACGCATACCTGTCAATAATAGATTTCTATCATTTGAACCCCAACATGCCCATTTGGCTATTTGGGATGCACCATTATTTCGCATAATTTTCTATCCTCCACAATCTAATATATGAGCACTCGAGGTCTCTTATTAAGTCAATAATATAGAGGAGTGATATGCTTCCTTATCTCCCTTTCCCCCTATTTTTAGTCGTTACTACAAATTTTATTTTTTTTCTTTTTGCAAGGATTTCTTTTTTATTTTTGTGAGAAATATCTTTTTATTTTCTTTTAGTGAAAACTATCGTTTTTATTTTTCTTGAATAAGCATGTTCAATTATCATATATAATCATGAATTATAAACTAAAATAACTGCAACTTATCATACGATATTTGTGAAAGCGATGATACATTTGAATGAAGGGATCCATGTAATCACAAATTCAGAGCGAAAATGAAGTCTTGTCGTAATTATGTGATATTTGTTGGCAGGTAAAGTGTCGATCACCTGGTTCGGGCCAGTGCCCAGGGTGACCATCACCAAGCCTGAGCTGGTGCGAGAAGTGCTGTCCAACAAGTTCGGCCACTTCGAGAAGCTCAAGTTTGGACGTTTCCAGAGGTTGCTGCACAACGGATTGGGCAGCCACGAGGGCGAGAAATGGGCCAAGCACAGGAGGATCATCAACCCGGCCTTCCATCTCGAGAAGCTCAAGGTGAGAGAGATATTTCTGTCACGGACATGGCAACAGTGATCGGGCCTAGGCGCCGTTGTTTCGGACTAATTTTTTCTTCTCAATAATCAGCGCATGTTGCCAGCGTTCGCTGCATGTTGCACCGAGCTGGTGGACAAGTGGGAAGGTTTAGCCAAAGGAGGTGATGAGCCGTACGAAGTTGATGTTTGGCCGGAGATGCAGAGCCTGACAGGGGATGTCATCTCACGCGCCGCATTCGGCAGCAGCTACCTTGAAGGCAAGAGGATTTTCCAGCTCCAGGGTGAGCAGATCGAGCTCATCGTCGCCACCATGAATAAGATACATATCCCTGGTTACATGTGAGCTCCCTTCTCACTTTCATCATCTCTCGTTCGGCCCATTTCCCCTGCAAAGTTCATATGTTTTCCTCCTGCTGATAGTAGCAAACGGTAGTGCAATGAATTCCACGCGACAAAATGAATGATCTGACGTGTTTGCGATGCAGACACCTGCCGACCAAATCCAACCGGAGGATGAAGCAGATCGCTGCGGAGATCGAAGGGATGCTGAAACGCATCATCGCGAAGAGAGAGAGCGCCTTGAAGGCCGGCGAGGCAAGCAGCGACGACGATCTCCTCGGCCTCCTGCTGGAGTCCAACCTGGACCACAGCAAGGGCAACGGCGGCGCCGCGAGCTCCGGCATCTCGATCGACGACGTGATCGGGGAGTGCAAGCTGTTCTACTTCGCCGGCATGGAGACCACGTCGGTGCTGCTCACCTGGACGATGGTCGTGCTCTCCATGCACCCGGAGTGGCAGGACCGCGCCCGGGAGGAGGTCCTCCACGTCTTCGGCAGCCGCGCCCCGGATTACGACGGCTTAAGCCGCCTAAGAATCGTAAGCACTTCGACACGATTAACTGATGATTCACGAAATTAAAGATATAAAAGTCTAATTTGGGTTTTGGGTTTTGGGTTTTGCAGGTGACCATGGTGTTGTACGAGGTGCTGCGGCTGTACACGCCGCTGACGGCGCTGCAGAGGAAGACGTACAAGCCGATGGAGCTCGGCGGGGTGAGGTACCCGGCGGGCGTGGTGCTGACGCTGCCGCTGCTGTGCGTGCACCACGACAAGGACGTGTGGGGCGCGGACGCCGACGAGTTCAGGCCGGAGAGGTTTGCGGAGGGGATCTCCAAGGCGTCCAGGGAGGCGCCGGCCTTCTTCCCGTTCGGGTGGGGGCCGAGGATCTGCATCGGCCAGAACTTCGCGCTGCTCGAGGCCAAGATGGGCCTCTCCATGATCCTGCAGCGCTTCTCCTTCGACCTCTCACCGTCCTACACCCACGCGCCGTTCCCCGTCGGCCTGCTTCAGCCGGAGCACGGCGCGCAGGTCAGGCTCACGAGGCTAAACTGATGACAAACACCTCCTGGGTCCTGTCCTAGACGAGAACTGCGTGCTCGGTCGGTCTATCTTTTTTCTAGTCTGAATGTACAGCATAATTGGTGCATGGACAATGTGTTCAGAACAAGTCAAATTACCTGAACTAGGAGCGGTTGTGAACTTTTTTTTTATTTTAGTTTTTTGTGATGTTTGTTAAGTGCTTTTGATTCGCTCGGATGGTTGTACAAAATGTGTCAGTCACGTGTGCTCTCATGAAGAGTGGACCTATGTACATTTAAGAAGATGACAACTAATGTTGTGTACTTGTGTCTAGTGTGGGTGTGTTTGGTTGCTCGCACCATGCCTGGCCCGCATGCGTGGGTGCAGGCCAGCCATGTTTGGTTGCCTGCATGGCCATCGGGGCCTGGCTCTGCTCGTGCAAATCGGTCTTCCGAGCCAGGCCCGCTGGAAACGCTAGCGGCGAGCTTCGCTGCTCATCCTGGCTGCACGGGTGCAGGCTTGGGGTTGCGTGGGTGCAGGCGTGGGGGCAAGCGCGTGCAAGGGGCGATAGGGGGTCGCGCTCCCTTCACCTCCCTCACCCCCATTTGCTCTTTCAAGCGTTGTCTTGTTCGTCGCCATCTCCATCGCCTCATGGAACCCGTCAGCCATTGGAGCCCCTCCCCCTCATCTCATCTCTTCAATGGCTACAACGAGCAGCCGTCGGATGTCCCAAGCTCGCCGCGCCACCTCTGACGGCACCGATATCTTGCTGGCTAGGAGGGAGGAGGATCTGAGGTTGAAGGAAGGAGAAAGGAGGATTTCAGATCTAGAAGCTCATCGTTGCTATTGTCCTGCTTCTCTTCCACCTCACCGTTGCTATATGTCTGTAGAGAAATGTATATGTCCGCTAAGTTCTAATGAGTTGCTCCAGAATAACTTCACAATTCCACTGTGGTACAAGGTTCTTTGGGCTGGTGATTCTTGGACCATGTTTAGTCCGTGCGGCCCATCATGCTTCCATGGTCGGAATGTGCCAACAACCCAACACTCCTACCGTGCCGAGAGCGCATTCTAAATCTAATCCTTAGCCGTGCCTTGTTTTGAGCCTTCGAGTCGCGTATGGCGTCGTTCCCAGGCCAAGACTTAGATGATGTGACGGTCTGGGAGACTGGGAGACCAACCAAAGCAACTCCTCCGATAGAGATGCAGAAAAATCAACGGTAAAGTTAAGAGTTCTCTTGTTTTCCTTGACGATGTGAGCGGTGGAGCAATGACACAAACGACACCTGTGTACTTCATGCATACAGCAACCAAAGAAAAATCAAAGCTAACTTGTATCACCGCATCTGCCTGGCCATGGACGCTTGTGACAAAGCTCCTTTTGTTACGTTTCACTCTTAGTCTCTTTTGGCTGTGTTCGGGAGTGCCCCTACACGTAAAACGAAGCAGCATTTAGCATGCGATTAATTAAGTTTTAGCTAATTTTTTTTAAAATGGATCACTATGATTTCTTAAACAACTTTCGTATATAAACATTTTGCAAAAAAAAACACACCGTTTAGCAGTTTGAAAAGCATGCGTGTAGAAAATGAGGAGGAGGGGTTGGGAACATGGACAACCGAACATAGTTCTTGGCCATGCATTTCCTGTTGACGCTACTTAGTAGTATATCACGTCAACACGCAGGTATGTACACACATACGACGAGATCGAAACCATGGAGATTGTCGATGGCGCTTCACCGCCGTTGCATCCATGGAGCTTGCTGCTCTACGCGCTCGGCGCATTGGCGGCGCTGTGGTGGGCGTGGCGGGCTCTCGACCGGTTCTGGCTCCGCCCGCGGCGGCTGGGCCGGGCGCTGCGGTCCCAGGGCCTCCGCGGCACCGACTACCGCTTCCCGTCCGGCTACCTGAAGGAGTTCGCGCGGCTGCTCGCCGCCGCCCTCGCCGCGCCCATGCCGCCGCTGTCGCACGACGTCGCCTCGCGAGCGCTTCCGTTCGAACTCGCCGCCATCAAGCAGCACGGTGCGTAGTACTGGCTCTCTCCTTTTAATCAGCAGCTTACACACACGCCCCTGCAAACGTGAGAGATCAAACGGAAGTTGCATGGAATGCAGGCAATGTTTGCGTGACTTGGTTCGGCCCGGAGGTGCGAGTGATCGTGAGTGATCCTAAACTTTTCCGAGAGATTTTAGCGAACAAGAACGGGCGGTTCGGGAAGCAGAAGTCCATTCTTTGGGTCCAGAATTTGTTGGCAGATGGGCTGACGAGCCACCAAGGCGAGAAATGGGTCGCTCACCGGAGGATAATGAACCACGCCTTCCATCTCGAGAAGCTGAAGGTGAGACACCACCATCCTGCACACACGACACAACCACATGTCCATAACCGATTTTTTTTTTACATCCTTTCTGGCTTTGTCAGTCTAGATGTCTGTATTTACTTCTTGAGGATCGTAAAATTTCTTACAGTGAAAGGATTGCTTGATGCTTTGTGCAGAGGATGTTGCCGGCGTTTGCAGCATGTTCCAGCGAGCTGATAAGCAGATGGCAGGATTCTGTGGGAGCTGATGGTGCGCAGGAGATCGATGTCTGGCCGGAGTTCCAGAATCTCACGGGGGATGTCATCTCCCGGTCGGCGTTCGGCAGCAGCTTCAGTGAAGGGAGGAGGATCTTCCAGTTGCAGTCAGAGCAGGCACGAAACGTTATGAAGATGGCAAAAGCTTTGTATTTCCCAGGTTACAGGTGATTGACTAATAGCAAAATTAAACCCGAATTAAAGAGGTTAGGTATTACTTGATTACATCTGAGATGCGATTTTTTTGCTTATTGTTTTTTTTGCTTATTGGGAAGGTTTCTGCCTACAGAGCTCAACAGAAGGACGAAAGCAAACGCACGCGAGGTCAGAGAGCTTCTGAAAGGCATAATCACCAAGAGGGAGAGCGCGATGAAGGATGGCCATGCGGTTAACGATGATCTGCTTGGATTGCTATTGGAGACCAACATCAAGGAGAGCCAAGAAGCTGGAAGCTCCAAGCCAACCATGACCACGAAGGACATCATCGAGGAGCTGAAGCTGCTCTACTTTGCAGGATCGGATACAACCGCGGTGTTGCTCACATGGACAATGGTCCTCCTAAGCATGCACCCCGAGTGGCAGGACCGTGCCAGGGAGGAGGTGCTGCGCGTTTTCGGAAAGAACAGTCCAGATTTCGAGGGCATAAACCATCTCAAAGTCGTGAGTGCAACATATATACCAAGATGAAGAAAATGTTCAGGTTCTGTTTTTAGTTAGTTCCCGTTCTCTGTCACAGGTGACCATGATATTACACGAGGTTCTTAGGCTGTATCCACCGATCCTGCTGCTTGGCCGAGAGGCATACGAAGAGACCGAGCTCGGAGGGGTCACGTATCCACCGGGGGTGACATTCGCGTTGCCGATCGCGGGCATCCACCACGATCCAGACGTGTGGGGAGAAGACGTCGGCGAGTTCAAGCCGGAGAGGTTCGCGGAGGGCGTCTCCAGGGCGTCCAAGGACTCACCGGCGTTGGTTCCCTTCAGTTGGGGGCCACGGATCTGTGTCGGCCAGAACTTCGCGTTGCTGGAGGCCAAGATGGCGCTGAGCATGATCCTGCAACGGTTCTCGTTCGGGCTGTCTCCGTCCTACACGCACGCACCGTTCCCAATCCCCACGCTCCAGCCACAGCATGGGGCACAGATTAAGCTTACTAAACTCTGATCATTTTAAGTAGCACTAGATTATCAAGCATGTCGGCGGTTGAGCGGAGCCTGGCTCGATCTGCTGCAGCCTCTGCTTTTCTGTTTTACTGTTTAGGATGTTCTCATAAAGTCTGAAGAAAGAAAAGGCGACGATGTTGTGATCAACTGGGAACTATGCCGATCGGAAATTTTAAGGGAATAAATGAAACATGTACGGTAGCGTTGTAGGGGGAAAAACAAAAGGAAAACTGAAAAGAAAAGGAGAGGATTAGTTGCTGAGACGAACTGCAACTGCTGTTGCCTTCGATTCAGTTGTTGCACACGGCGACCGTTTTCTGCCGCTGCCGACGTAGGCGGAAGCGCCAATACGATGGACAACGATGAACGATTCGGCTTCGTTTCCCGTACGGATTAGTGGCTCCGAATCCGAGCAGGACACCAAAATTCTCCCGATCCGTGTACATATATCGGGAGCAAGAGACCGAGCGACCCCACTCACCCGCACACCTCACAACGCGGGACAAAGCCGAAACTCCTAATGGGCGATCAATCGCTGGGCTACAGGAGTGGCGATCGATTTCCCTTTTCTTTCTAGTCCAAACACGTGCGTCCGCCACTTGCCTTTTCTGGCTTTCTCAGCCTCTTTCCTATTGGGCTTGGCCCACGAGAGCCCATCCGCAGCACGGCATCGTTTTTGGCTTTTTTTTTTTATCGCCCTTATGAGAAGCGGAAGCGGATGCCGTTGCAATTTTGAACAGTACCCTCTTCTTCCTCTCCTGGCGATTTCGATTTCTCTTGTGATTCTCCGACGATTTTTCTCCAACGCAACGTGGTGCGTCTCCTGATCTCCTCGAGCATCCTTGGAAGCGATTCCTCCTGTTATTTCTCGGTTATTGTAGTTAGGGTTTAATTTTTGGAAGTGATTTTCTGTTCCCTCGAGCTAGCTTGATTTGATTGGCGATTTTTTGTTTTAGTTCCTTGGTTTTTTGGGTTTAGATCCATGGAGTTTTGGGTTTCTCCGTCACAAAATCATGCCGTTAAACTGAAAGGGAAAACACCATGGATTACACATGCACCACACTGTAGACGCCGTCGCCGCCGCGGTTGACGCTGCCGCCGCCGACACCTTCACCGCCGCCCGTCGCTGCTAGGGTTAGGGTCTAACCCTAGCAAAATCATGGATCTAAACCCAAAACGCCATTGCTTGAATCTTGTAAGCTCTAGTATTGCAATGAACTACTGTAAGCAGGAGTATTGCAAATGGGAATATTTGTGGCTGCATATTGCTGGATATTTTCCATGTGTATCCTGGAGTGAATGGACAATTTGGGTAGATTGCTGCATATTGCTGAATCAATGCATTGATATAGCTAGAATATTTGGGCAGATTGCTGTAAATGAATGCTATTTTTGACTACATATTGCTGCACAATTGATGACTGCATTTTTTGCAATGTGATTTTCAATCCAGTGCAATATCCAGCTGCAATCTTGGAGCATATTTGGCTCCTGAAATACTACATATCTCAAGTTATTTTGCCAGCTTGAGTATATTTTGCCATCTTTCAGCAAATTTTGCTAGCATGATTCAAGTTATTCACGGAGAAATTTTTCTATCTCCATGCCCTGCTTGACCTGGTATTATCATGAGGCTTTCACATGATGCATGGATAGCTGCAATCTGATTTTGTAGGTGTCATCATATAGTTGTTGCTTTCTAATAACATTCATACTTGAGTCAGATTTTCAGAGAAAAAACTACAAAGGATTTAATAGGAGCAAAAACATCTTTGTGCATTAACTTGGTGTACTGAGTTTTTTTTGTCAGAAATGTACTATTTTGCGTTCCTCCCTATGCAGTTAGTTTTTTTCCCCTGAAACGATTGTGCACAGATTTGCTTTGTTCTAGACAAATTTTTGGGAGAACACAAATAGGGGCTGGTTTTGAATTTTGTTTTAGACTCGATTTTTTCAGTTGATTCTAGGTGTCCTCATCAACTGATTTTGTTCTTGTATTTGTAGGATTAGATATTCAGTAAAGTTTCAGTGTTTCGCTCTGTTTTTTATAGTGCAATGGGTGCACTTTTTGTCTAAACTGTGTGCTGGTAAATATAAACGAACCATCCAGAACTGAGAAAACCTAGCAGCCGCTTGTGTTGTGTTTAATTATATACTGCAGATTTATACACCTCTGCATTTCTAAGTTTGTATTCCTGCAGTCATCAACTCATAATCCTCTTATACTGAGTTAAGTTCAGTCTGGTTGTAGTTAGTCACGAAGTTTTGATGATTTTTTGTTAAAATTTTCATGAGCATATATATTTGTGATTGACTGGCCCATCTGCACTTTTTGGCATTTCTGGCCACTAGCACTAAATGGTAATCTTTTTGCCTTAGTTTTGGTTGTAGTCTACCATTCCCATCTATCAGGCCAGTAACATCAATACAAATGCAGTTATAACTGACATGGCTTATTGTCATATACGCCCTCACTATTTGCCATTTTGTGGGTTCATGTTAGCTTAACTATTTTTTTTTTGTTATTGTGGATATGCATATGTTTGCCACCTCATCAGCACTCATAAGCAATCAACTTAGGCAGATTTTTCTTTGTTCTAGATAATTTTTTGGGGGAACCGGTAGTGACTGCTAGTGAATTTTATTTTTCTGATTCAATTTCAGTTGATTCTTGGATCAACTGATTTTGACTCACATTTCAGTTGATTCTCATATTTTGTGACTAGTAGTGACTGGTGTCCTCATCAACTAATTTTGCTCTCATATTTATAGGATTAGATGTTCAATTAAGTTTCAGGATTTTGCTCTGTTTTTTATGGGACAATGGGTGATTTGGCTAAACTGTGTGCTGGTAAATATAAAGTATTAAAGTATATGTGATGCGTGGTAAGTACATAGCAGGGGGTGCTTGACATGGTGACTAACATGACTAGTCCATACATATAAACAATTTTTTTGATCTAGTGTTTTTGCTACTATGTCTTTGATAATATACAACATATAAAAAATTCTCAGTACACCAAGTCACCAAAAATGCTCATACATGTGTCTGAAAACCAAGGGGTAGAGAGAGTACCTTCATCACATAGAGAACAGACATCTTGGACAGAATAAAATCTCCTGGATGAATAGTATCTTTTTTTTGCGCTTTTCTGAATTCCATTGTTTCGCTTTTTTGCATAACCTTTTTGATTTCCTTTGCCACTATCTGCTTGTATCAATGATTTCTAATAAATCAGTTGGTCAGGAGCTCAAGGTGTCTATGTAACTGTTGCGCAGATAAAAAATTCCATTACGTGACTCGGGCAGTATGGATGATTTTGAGGAACATGGTATTAGTTCTCGTGAAGATTCGGACTGTAGCAAGGCAAATTGTTCAATTTCAAATTATGTTCCAAGCAAGGATGCCACTGGTGAGCACTCTGCAGGCAAAGATAACAGCTCGGCAGAATCTGAAAGTAACAGAGTTGAAGTACAACAGTCTTCAGATTCTGCAATAAACAAAATGAAGGTATACTTTTTTTTGTGATAATGATTTTACTAGTCTATTTCCCTGTTTCTCTTTAACTGGTATTCTATCCGATACCATGGATCAATTAAACCAAGCAAGGTGTATAAACTTACTAATCGCCCGATAGGTTTTTTTTTTAATTAACATGTTTTGTTTCCATCCCCTGCTAATTTCTTGTGTTTATAATGTTTCGAAGTATAAAGTGTTTAAAGCAGAATGTTTGTAAGTATAAAGTTTCTGCAATTATAAACTTTTGGATGTTGAATTTTTTATTAGTGTAAAGTTTACAAGTATAAAGTTTCTATATAAAAAATATTTGAATCCGAATTGTAATTTGAATCGGGTATATAAACTTTTGACTTATAAACTTTAGGTCTACAAACTTTAGATGTATAAACTTCAGATGTGTAAACTCAAGGTGTATAAACTTACTGTTCGCCCGATATGGTTTTTTTTGGAATACACATGTCTTTGTTTTCATCTCCCGCTAATTTCTTGTGCTTATAATATTTTCGAAGTATAAAGTGTTTAAAGCAGCATGTTTGTAAGTATAAAGTTTCTAGTTTCTGCAACTATAAACTTTATAAGTATAAAGTTCATAGGCATAATGGTTATTAGCATAAAGTTTCTGCAACTATAAACTTTTGGATTTTGAATTTTTTATTAGTGTAAAGTTTACAAGTATAAAGTTTCTATATAAAAAAATATTTGAATCCGAATTGTAATTTAAATCGGGTATATAAACTTTAGGTCTATAAACTTTAGGTGTACAAACTTTAGGTGTATAAACTTCAGATGTGTAAACCCGAGGTGCACAAACTTTAGGTGTATAAACTTACTATTCGTCCGATAGGTTTTTTTTGGAATACACATGTCTTTGTTTTCATCCCCCGCTAATTTCTTGTGTTTATAATATTTTCGAAGTATAAAGTGTTTAAAGCAGCATGATGAACAAACTAATTAATGCACTCATTCATTTATTTGATATTTTAAAACATAAGATCATCAAAACAGGATGATGCTAAAACACTCCGTGAGAAGCTCACATAATTCCTGGTGGCTAATGATCATCATGAAAAGCACAACCCTAAAATTAGAACCATCGGAAAAAATATGTGAGTTCTTGCAAAATGAAGTTCTTTTTTCTTTCTATATTTTTATATATAACTTTTTTTTGGTTACTACTTTTAGGTTTGACATTCTCTCTCTTTCTTTTCATATGTAGGGTGTGACAATATAATTTTTATTCACAAGGGAAATGGTACTGTTCCAGATTTCCTTTTTATTTCCTCTTTTTAACACCATTTTTTTTTTGCTCCATTACTTCTTTTATATGCTTCCATGTCATTACACTTTTAGACTACTAGAACTGTTAGATTGCTATATCCATGTAGCATTTGTTTTAAACTGCTAGGCTGTTCTTCCCATGTATGAACTTTTCTATGTAGTGTAGTTTCGGATCACTAAGGGAGTGTTTGAGGAGAAGGGGATTGAGGAGATTGGTAAGATACGCAAAACGAGGTGAGCCATTAGCTCATGATTAATTGAGTATTAACTATTTTAAATTTTAAAAATGGATTAATATGATTTTTTAAAGCAACTTTCATATAGAAATTTTTTGCAAAAAACGCACCGTTTAGTAGTTTGAAAAGCGTACGCGCGGAAAACGAGAGCCAATCTCCCCTATCACCCCTAAACGAACGATGCCTAAGTCGCACATTGTCATTTCTTCCCCTTTTTTTTTTTGTTATGTTTTGTTCATCATGGATTTCATGTGACCCAATTTTAGCAACTTTATGTACATCACAACTGTCATATATTCATGTGCTGGAATGGCTCTTTGTTTCCACAAAACTCAGTAGTATTAAATTGAATATTTCTACATCTCACAACTTATCATGTTGCTTTTGCCCAACTTTTTTCTCTCATTTAAGTTGTAACAATTTTATTTTTTTTTCTCATCACAGGTTTGAGTTCAATGCCATTTTCAACGATCCTAATGTTCTGCTAGTGAAAGTGCAACTTGGCAATCTCCTTTTTTTTAAAAAAGAAACACAATGTTCTCTTTTTTTCCCGCATCATGTTTTTATTGTGCAATTCAACTATTTTTATCAACATTTTTTCAACCTGTCAATTTGCCATATACAAAAATGACGAGCTGATAAACTCCATAGTGCAAACCTGAAATCTAGCGTGTCACATTTTACTTTAACTATATGTTTTTTATATCTTGCATTGTTTTTTTTTCAATTCAGTACAAATGATTAAGAAAGCTACAGCTTTTGTCATTTCAAAGTTACTTTAATTGATCTCCCCACCCTATACTTATCCCTACTTACCACATCCCAGAAAATCAGTATAATTGACGAAGAAAGCTACAATTTTTATCATTTGAAAGTTACTTTCATTGATCTCCCCACCCTCCACTTATCCCTACGTACCACATCCCAGAAAGTTAGTATAATTGATGAAGAAAGCTACAGTTTTTATCATTTGAAAGTTACTTTCATCGATCTCCCCACCCTATACTTATCCCTACTTACCACATCCCAGAAAATCAGTATAATTGACGAAGAAAGCTACAGTTTTTATCATTTAAAAGTTACTTTCATTGATCTCCCCACCCTATACTTATCCCTACTTACCACATCCCAGAAAGATAATAGGGAAAAATATGTAATTTGATGGGCTAAAACTGGAAGGCCCAACGGAGGATGTTGGACCGTCGGCCCGCGTCCCGAAAGGGAATCGCGCGCGAAAGTGAAACGGGAGAAGGCCCATGAATATAAACTGCAAGGCCCAACAACCGGCCCGCGTGGAGGAAGCGCGAAAGGGAAACCGGAAACAGGAGGAAGCGCGCAGATGCGAAAAAGGAAAGCGCGTGGAGGTGCAGGTGGGTCCTTCCCCCGATCGCTCGCCGCATGCGCCAGCGATCAATCGCGCAATAGGGGGACCCGCACAAAGCTCCAACCCCCCCCCCCCCCCCCCCCCCCAATTCACAACCGAACCCAAACCCGTGAAGCCAGGAAACAAATCATGCAGAGCGTGGCAAGGCTCGTCGCTCGGAGCGCCCGGTCGTCGGCGGAGCACAACTGCAGCCGGCGAAAGCTCGCCAGCACAGCCCGCTGCGGCGGCGGCGGCGGCACTAAGGAGGAGATCCTGAAGGTACCTCAGAGTTCGGCGGCCACGATGGCGGAGCCGGCTGCGGGGGACGCGGCGGCCAGGAGCAGGACGGCGTCGCAGGTGGCGGCGGGGATAGCGCAGGGGGAGAGGTTCTTCGTAGGCTACTGCGTCGTCGTGTACGGCAGCCTGCTCGGCCTTGTCTTGAGGCGGTTCAGAAGGGCATGACGATGAAGCTACGGCTGCCTCCTCGCTGCAGCTGATTGGATCGATCACTGGAGACTACTAGGCAGGTGTTGGTGAATTCGAGCATTCGATCGGCCATTGGGAAACGTTGCATTTGTATGACGAGTGTGAGTAGGATACTGTCGTTTTTTTGCATGAGAAGTTTTCTTGTGGAGTGGTCTTGTAGTACTAGTTAGTTTGGCGTAAATTCCTCTATTATGATTCACTTATATTAAACCGTTCCTAAAAAAAGAATGTGGCATGGAAAAAATGTTACTGTAGGCGTAAAATAAAAAGCGAATTTGCTAAATGATACATTTGATAAAAAATCTTACTCCACCCACTCCACCGATTGATATGCTCCACATCCTTCTCTAGTTCCAACGAATTCCGGCGAGCTCACAGATCCCACCTAGAGTGTTGAAGGTTAGGATAACTGGATAAGGATGGGACTGGGAGAGGTGTGGGCGTAGAGGGAAGAGAATGTTCTTCGGATTCAGTATGGTGCGTGTATGGAAAATAAGTCAAATTTAGAGGGAGTCGAAATTTCAAAAGTTTGAAGAACAGACCGGAAGATATGAATGTAAGAGAATCCTAGTAGAAGTCCTAGTCAATCATGAAAAGAGTCCAAATCTGAAAATTTTGAAGAACGAACTGGAAGTGTCATGTGAGGAAATCCTAGTAGGATTATGAGTCCTAGTCAAATTTGGAGGTTGGAAAGATTTCATAAAGAATTAGAATGGAAATTGTGAGGGAACATATTACCTATGTTTTTTAATAAATAACGTCATTGATTTTTGAAATAATGTTTAGACATTCGTTTTATTAAAAAAAATAGTGTAAATATGCAAAGTATAAGTTATACTTAAAGTTTCTTTAATAATAGAACATTATAAATTTTAGAATAATATAAATGATCAAACGTCATGATAGAAATTAACAAGCCATCTATAATAAGAAATGAAAGAGTACTTGGTAGTAATCCATATGCTTATTGCATAGGAAAAAGTATAAATTACCCCCCACCCCCTCCCACGAACTATCTCGGTCGACCGAATACTCCCCTGGACCCGAAAACCAGACATTGCTCACTCTGAATTGGGCTCCGGTCGATGGCGAGCAGTGGCAGGCATGGCTAGGTGGACGAGGCGAGTGTGGCGAGTGGCCGGGAGGCTATGGCAAGGCACGGCGCTGCGGCGGGAGGCCGCAGGGACAGAATCTGGGGGCGGAGGAAATGGCGAGCGGCGAATGCGAGAACGGCCTCCTCCTCTGCTACCGCCTCCTCCGGCTTTCGCCTATCTTCCGCCTCCTCCCCGTCCTCCTCCCGCCGCCGCGCTAGCGCGGCCGGGTCGGTGTCGGCATCTGCATCCGTAGTCACACTGGTCAACGGCCTCGCCTCCACGGTCGTCGACTGTGCCACACCCTCTCCCCCACCATCGTATTCCCCACCATTGCCACCTTCTCGCGCAAATCCGACGCCGGCCGCCACTGGCGCGCATCATAACGGGGCCTGAATGGTGAGCTTGATGGGCCGGCCACCGCTGGCGCGCGTCTCATCCTCGGCCTCCACCGCGAGGAGGCTCGTAGCTGCCGGTGCGCCGCTCGTCCTCGAGGGAGCTCAAGACTGCGACAGGCTCGTCGCTTCCTTCTCGCGAGCTCCGTCTCCGCCGCCACTGCAGCTGCCTCCACGCAACCTCTTGCTCCGCCGACCTCCCTAAGCAACATTGAGCTCCACTGCTGGTCGTTGCCTCCAACGCCCTCACCAAGCTCGAGACGGCGGTGGGCTCATCGCTGCCTTCACGCGAGCTTCGATCGCGACCTCTAGGGCCCTCGCCGTCGAGGTCGTTCCAGCCCCACGCTAGCACTCTTTCTGCCCCACTGGCTGAGATCCGGCCTCGACGACCGCACTGGCGCCGTCCACTCTCCCTGGGCAAAGAGTACGGCGATGGAACCCAGGGGACGCATGCAGCAGTGTCGCCGCCCGCCACCCCGACCTGACGGCCTTCACTCATGCCGCCGCTGCTGCCGCTATCTCCCCCAACGCCCTGTTGCCCCTACTGCCGCCGTGACACCGGTCCACCGCCTCGTCCTCTGTTTTGGCTTTCCGTGAGAGGGAGAGAGCGAGAGAGAGATAGAGATGGAAGGGAAATGAGGTGGGAGAAGAGAAAGAGGAGCTGACCGGTGGAGCCCACTTATTTTTAATTAATTTTTCACTGACTAGACCACCACGTGTATGCCACGTAGGATCAAAACCACTCTGGATTCCACTAGGGGGTTATTCGTCTGGTTTGAAAAGTTTGAGGTATAAAATGTCTGGTTTTATGGTTTAGAGGGGTAATTAGGTTGACCGTGATAGTTCGGGAGGTAATTCGTATTTTTTTCCTATTGCATATAGCGTGGAGCTTGCAACCTTCTGATCTACTCTTCACCCCCAAATCTCATATCCCCTCCCTGCATTTCAAAACCAAAGTAACAGCATAAAAAAAATCAAAGTAGCATGGGATATATTTCCTCTATTTCTTTCACATCCACCATGCGGCATGCGGAAATGCTACTGGGCGGGCGAGCGATCCTCACTCGCCCTTTCCCACCCCCCCTCCCTCCACCTGGTTTCCTTTTTTGGCACCGTATTACTTTTCTATTTTAGTAAATTTATGCACCTAAAGTTTATACACCTCAAGTTTACACATATAAAGTTTAGAGACCAAAAGTTTATAAATCAAAAGTATATATATCCGATTCAAATTTGAATTTGAATTTAAATATTTTTTATATATAGTATTTCTATACATATAAAGTGTATACACCTAAACTTTATAGACCTAAAGATTATATATCCGATTCAAATTTGAATTTGAATTCCAATATCTGATTCAAATTTGAATTTGAATTCAAATATTTTTCATATATAGTATTTCTATACATCTAAAGTTTGTACACCTAAAGTTTATGGACCTAAAGTTTATATACCCGATTCAAATTTGAATTTGAATTATATCCGATTCAAATTTGAATTTGAATTCAAATATTTTCTATATATAGTATTTCTATACATCTAAAGTTTATACACCTAAAGTTTATAGATCCAAAATTTATAAGTTAAAAGTTTACATACCCGATGCAAATTTGAATTTGAATTCAAAATTTTTATACATAAAATTTTCTAAATTTTTTGTTTTTTAAAAACTTTTTTGTGGTGTACTGTAGTAGTAGTAGAGAAGAAAGGGGGAGAAAGGGGAGAAGTGGGAGTAGCCTATAGGGGAGCGGGGGGTGGGATCCGATCGCAGGGCGATCAGCCCTGGCGATCGATCGATCGCGCATTAGCCCCCCATGCGGCATGGGCTTATATGACTCGGGAAAATATGTGGAACCCCCAGTCACCCGGTGATACCGCTCAGGGCGTCCGCAGTATGACTCTACCGCTCTACGCGGCTGACGAAACAGCTCACTCCGCTTCCCGAGTCACGAGCACGCCGGATGGGCGGCGCCGCGGCCTTTCTTTGCTCCGCCGCACGTGCGCGCCGCGCCGGCGCCGCTGCTCCCCCTCTCTCTCCGCGCAGAGCCGCAAACCTGGCGCGCGATGGCCGCACGCGCTCCGGCCCCCGGCTTCCCGTTCCACGCGTCGGGTAGCCAGTGGACGCAGCCGCAAAGGAGGAGCAAAAGATCAAGCGCCGTCCACGTGTACCCCACCAACTCCATGAATTCCCAGGGCCTCCAGGTCGTCACCGATCCGACGTCGCTTACAGCCGGGCCCGGAATCTACCGGCCCAACCTTGCCAGTGACTAACCAGAACGACGAGTACGATTAGTAGCCCGATTAGATAAAGTGGGGACTAATCGCCAATATTAAACTTAACAGGTGGACTCCGCTGGTGGCATGATGAGCTACCCATCCTCGCCGTCCACGTGTACACCTCGGCCCCTGATGCCCCGCACCAACCGTCCTCCGATTAACCCATCCAACTGACCCCGGGGGCCACATGTTCGCGGACCCACCTGTCAGTGAGCGATCAACTTGCTACGCGGGGACGGACGGGTTAGCGGAACGAATGGTGGGCGATAGGCAAAGCAGCCGCAACCCACCCGCAAAAATGCGAAAGCTACGTAAACTGCTACCCGCTGCTACGCCCTCGCGGGGCCGGATCCTCTTGGGCCCACACGTCAGTGACCGCGGTGGAACGTGTGGGGAGACCTTGACTCCGCAGACGCGGACCGGTCGCGTAGATTAGTATATGTGGTACGGGATTAGCAAGCGATCGAGCTGTCCCCTACCTGTGCTCTCCCTCTCCATCTTCCTCTCTCTCCCAGTGGGTGCGTTTGTGCGAGACTTGAGGCTGAGCGAGAGGGGAGGAGAGATCGTGCTCCGCGAGGGAACGGCGGCGAGGAGCTGGGTGCATCTCGGGTACGTGCCTCCTCTCTCTCTCTCTCCTCGCGTCGCTCGAGCTCTGCTTTGGACGGGGGATTTCCGGAGCTCGATTTCCTGCTCGGGCTCGACTCTCTGTGATTCTTGTGGGTTTTGTGTAATTTGATCTGGGGGGATGCTTCGCTCTGTGTAGGGTGGTACATGTTTGGCTGCTTGAGTATGTTTCAGCTAGTTGTTGGGTGGTTGAGCTTTTTGTACCCGTGAGAAATACTTGTAAGCTCAAAATTTGGGCCGAGGTATAGAGAGGAATTGTGTTTGTGTGAAGGTTTTCGGGCTGCTCGGTGGAAAAGGAGTAGCGAGCTTTTGGGATGTGGCATGTGTTTGGGGAATTCTGTAGGCTGCGTTCCTGCTGTAGCTTAGTTTCTGATCTTAATTACTGTCCTGACAAGTTCGAACGAAAATTTGTTTCATGGGAAAGTATAAAAAAGGGAGGGGAAAGCAAGGAAGGGATTTTAGTTGGTGTTAAAGTTGTTGCTTGCTAGGAGGGTTTAAAGATTTTGAAAGGGTTGTTCGATTGGTGAATTCACTGGAGTGAGTGTTTTATTTTAGTGGTAGATTTTGGAGAAAAAAAATGGTGGCTGGCTCTAATTTATTGAGAACATATGGGTAAAGTATGTTCTTCCAGTAGATCATTAGTCTGTAGATATTTTACCAGCTTCACTTTTCTCCACTAATGTCTTTAGTGATATCAAATGTTTCAACAGTTGGACTTTTCCTACTGGAACTGCAGTACTTTCAACATGCTTTTTGCAAATGCCTGCATTAAGGATGAATAAAATGTTAAGCACCGACTATTTAGGGACGCAGGAGCTTCATTCATTTTGCAAGACCACCGAAATATTGGAAGACTCACAGTCTCAAGAGATTGCACTCGATAGAACAGCGGTGGGGTCAACACTTCTAAGTCATCAAAATGGTAAAGTCCGTATTTATACTATTCTTGATTTTGTTTGCTCTGGCTGATTTTGAAGAATTTCTGCTCAGCATACACCTGAACCTGCCGCACTGCAAAAGCTGTTTTTAATTCTATGCTTTTAGCACCAGTGACTCTCCAAGTGCATCCGCTTCCTGGGATGCATGAGTCCATCAATCCTCTGTGCTGGCCATGTTACTAAAACAAGAAGTGTGGCGATGTTGATTTAACTAGTTTGTATTGTGAGCACACCAGAAATAGCCAGTGAAAGATGCATACCTGGCTACTTATCCCTTGAATTATATAGTGCATAGGGTTAATGCCGACCTGAACACAACACCTTGAGTTTATTTAATACACTGGTATGCTCTCAGATGCAGTTTACTCACATAAATAAGAATTTTAGCCCTGTTATGCTGTGTTTGCTTAACACTTATTGCAAGGTACAAACAGAACTTATCTGTAAATGAAATTATTAGAGAATATCCTGTTGGTTATTGTTTTGTGCTGACTGCTGAGCACAAAAATTAGATCTTACCGAATAAAAAAATATCAAGTTTATTGAATTACTGTGTGCTTCAGAAACAAAATAAGTTTAATACAAGCAAATGCATTGTAGTTTTTCAAGGCCGAATGTGCTACAGTTTATTTTTTCATAATTCCAGTTTTATTATGTATGTAGAACATAGAACTGCCCCTTCATAAACAGTTGGAGATACGGGCATGTTCAGCACAAACACAGTTTATCATGTTAATACTATTCATTAGTTAGTAGATATATCAGTATTTTTTTCTTCTCAACACCATCAAATTTACATGTTCAATTTTAATTAGTTATTCGTTTGCAGTTTGCTCTACTTCTGAAGTATCAGGGGGAAACTTTGGAATCGCTGAAGTCAGTTTTTTACAGGATGAATATGATGCAGAAACCACCGGTGTACTGCCACCATCATTTTTGTCCTGTGGCTCTAGATCTATGGTGATTAACTTTTTTTATTTCCATTATAAATTGCCTGATGAATTATTTCTGTTCCTGATACTTGCTAATATTTTCTCAATATCCTCTGTCATCAGATATTCAGATTTCTTCTGTTTTTCAGAAGCAAATGCTTTGATTAGTTGTGTAGGTTACAACAAACATAGAAATAAAACAATGTGAACCTGTTTTGATAAATGAGGTGGCTAGTCTTACATGCATTAGGGACCAACCAAAGGGGCTTAACCATGACAGCTCCGCTCCAGTGTTGTATCCGACGGATATAGGGGCAGCGTAGGTTCACATTATCATATTGTTATCTGTGCAGAGAGAGATTTCGTGTTCTTTGCATATTATCCACATTGTCAAACTTAAAGGGCTGATGAAAAGTTACTACTAAGATAACCTTTGTTCCATCAAAGCTATATTTGGACATCATGAGGCAACGTATTGAAGTTGTTCAAAGCCAGTATCTTCTTTTGTAATATAAATTATTTTTTTGCGAACGCTTGTAATATAAATTATGAAACTGTATACTCTAACAACATGGACTGAAGTTAGGAAATCATACCGGTCAGTCACTGGGATTGGCAATTACTAACCTATGCTCCTTAACTGTGATTTTTCCACGAATATAATTCTTAATTTTACTAATTCTAGAAATCAGCTTTTGAATGTCAGGTCCCTCCTCACTGTCATAAAGCTACCAGTGCCTAGAGATACGAGTGTTCGTACAGGATATGCTATATTAGTAAAAAAGGCTTAGATGATAATCATAACTGGCTTTCTGTTATATTCGTGCCATCTGCGTACAGATTGTTTCCATTTCTTAAAAGCTATGGAACCATATGGATTATTCAAACTATCGTTTATTTTTGTAGCTCCCTATATCAGTACCATCATCATCATCATCTAGTCTGGAGACTGTCCTCTTTTCTGACTCAACGTACAGCGATCTTCAGGTAAAAGAGACGAACCACAATACTACAGGTAACATTGGCTTCAGTTCCAACCCTTTCAATCATTTAAGTTGTCAACTTGTATATGAATTTGAAACCAGGCTTTCATATCTTGGTAACTGAATGCTTTCTCTCTCGCTCTTCTTTTTTCATTTTTCTGTTTCTGCAGCAATGGATGAAAACAATGAGTTCCTTCAGCTGATTCTTAGTAGCAATGATGAAGGATACAATGCTGGAAGTGAATTCCAAGTTTGGGATGTTCTGGACTTCTACTTCTCAGAAAGCTTTTCAGCTGTGCAGTTTGATAGCTTGATGGGTTTTACAAATGATGTTAGTTCTTCCCATCACGATTGTATGAATCTTGTTGACATGGTAGAGCGGCCTGTTGCGCTCCTGTCCCTAAATGATACCGAGGAGCAAAATAACTCTACTGATGAGTTCCCTGATGATACATCATCATACCTTCAAATGAAACCCTCAGATTCCGAAACTGAAAGTAATTATGCCTCTCGAGATGTTGCGGTAACTGAATATGTTGATGAAAAGCCACTTTCTAGAGGCCTGCCTGATTTAATGGATGTCGACTCACCCGGTCGTCTATCAAAATCAGCAAGATCAAAACAAATCACTCTTGTTCTGGATTTGGACGGTAAGCTGGCAGTAACTTCACATCATTCAATCTTACCTTTGATTGAGTGTTCTTGTTCTGAATTTGTGAGTTATTCTACATCAGCTGGAAAACAGTTGATGACCAGCTATTGAACAATATCCCACCAAAATAATAAAATGAACCAGAAGAAAAACTTTTTGACTATGTTCTATAATGATGAAGTTTATCTAAAGCAGTCCTGTTCTGTCCTCATTGATATCTCGGATGACATGGATCCTGTGCTTCTGCTTTCTTGGAAGTTTTAAGTGGCAATTCGACTTAACTTATTTTATAAACCATCTGTACATTTATGAGGATGACATATATTTGAGCTCCCAATACATGGTTTATGGCTAATGCTCTTTCTTCTGGGAGTGATAGCTTTTACATTATTTCTTTCTATGGGATAACAAGTTAGCCACTGCCTGCTGTTATAGGATGCTCTCGAGGATAATGGAATTCAGTTATTATATCAGCATCCTTACTACCATAATTTTCTTTTCTGACATAATCTTAACTATTTCTCATATGCAGAGACTCTTGTACATTCAACATTGGATCATTGTGACAATGTTGATTTCACCCTTCAAGTTTTCTTTAATATGAAGAACCATACAGTTTATGTTAGGCAAAGACCTCATCTGAAGATGTTTCTTGAGAAGGTAGCTCAGATGTTTGATCTTGTCATTTTCACAGCTAGCCAGAGAATTTATGCCGAGCAACTAATAGATAGACTCGACCCTGATGGGAGGTTGATTTCACACCGTATTTATCGTGAGTCATGTATATTCTCTGAGGGTTGCTATACAAAGGATCTGACAATTCTTGGAGTTGACCTGGCAAAAGTTGTAATAGTTGACAATACTCCACAGGTAGCATGCCTTTTTCCGAATACTGTATATGCTTTATATGGACAGATGGAAATGTTTCCATTTCTATAGTTCTAGACTTAGACTTGGTTGCTAGAAATATGGAACAGCGATCTGTGGGCATCTAATAGCTTTCTTCTAAATTGAACAGAGAGCTTTATAACTCTTTTTAACTTGTCAAGTACTATGTACACAGATATGCTTATTATTTCTTAGCTGCCTATTTCTTGTCGATGTATGTTTTCCAAAGTTGTAAGTAAATCTTCATCTTTTTTTTTCAGGTTTTCCAGTTGCAAGTGGACAATGGTATACCAATAAAGAGCTGGTTTGATGACCCCTCAGACCAGGAATTGGTCGAGTTACTCCCATTCCTGGAGACACTTGTTGGTGTGGAGGACGTTAGGCCAATAATCTCGAAGACATTCCACCATACACTTGAGCAGAATTAGATCTAGAGAATTCATGATTTTCCTCGACTGAGCCTGTCACTGAAGCTTACTAGGTTCACTCCATAAGGTGCACCCCACTATTGGGGGGGAATTAGGCATAGGATCAAGATTCACCATTTATGTTATGTTAGCTGTTACAAATAGCGAGCATAAACTGCAGTCGTCGCCATGGCTTGTATATGTGTGCATCAGTTTTCTGTTTCAGATCCTTGTACAGGAACAATAGTGTTGAATAAAACGGTTCTGAATCAATTCTTGCTCTGTCACCGTTCAAAAGAAAAAAAGCTTGCTCTGTCTTTTCTTGTAATAGAAATTCCAAGCCGCCAAAACCAAACTCTAGATATCACAGATTAGAGATGACATGTACACCTTTCATCCGTCCTTAAAAAAGCTAACTTCCACTCTGGCTATGGATGCTAGAAGTTGATTTTTTTTAGACGAAGGGAGTACCCACCTTGTCTATAATGCTACGATGCAAGAAGTTGGTTTTTCCTTGGAAGGGAGAAGTATCGACCTTGTAGATGATGTGCTTCTATAGTGTTGTCCCATAATACAGTATTATAGTACCCAATGAGAAACGATTTACTCGTAATATTAGGATATATCTATACCTATCTATTTATCTATGCCTATATTAATTGGGCACTTTCTAAAAGCTTTCATGTTAACCACAAAATCTGATCATTAGATTAGATTGACGGTAACATAAGGACCGTAGATTTAAATTGTATAAACATAGACAGGCCCAACCAATCTGGCGTTAGAACTTGCTACACCATCCAATCTTTTTACACGCTTTAAAGGCTCAAAGCCCAATTAAAACTCAGCCACCACATTAGAGCAAGTATAATAGTAAGCTATAAGCCGGCTAAATGCTAAGTTGGAGGAAAGAAGAGAGGAGAGAGAGGAGAAGCGGGCTGTAAACTAACAGTCGGCTTGTATAAAAGAACCAAAAAACTCTGTGAAAGAGACAAGTGGGCCCTATATTAATTATGAAGAGCTAACTATTATATGGGTAGGCTGAGAGAAGGCTATAAAGAACCTTATAGCCAGCAGGTCGGCTGTATTATTAACATTGCTCTTAGGGTAGGGTATCGATGGCTGCCACGGTATCTGTGGACATCGCTTGCGACGAGACGGTAGCAACTTCGACCTCCTTTGCCGTGCACCCGGAGGTTTGGCCGCAAGACATCACACGCGAGGAGTCGGCGCGCGGCAACTTAATTCGGCACCATTTGCCGTGCACCCGAGGTTGGCCGCGACTCCATGCAGGCAGAACTCCATATCGACGTCTACCGAATGCGTGCGTCCTTGCGGGGTCTCAGGCTCAGCTCTGCATCTATTTCATCTATTAAAAATTGATCCAAACTGATCCCACAGCTACGTACGATTGCTGATTTAATAAAGAATTAAAATTGTACCTTCAAAGTCTGACAATCATCTGTTTTAAATTTTGCTTGACAGTTCAAGACGAGAACAATTTTAAATTTAATAATTTTGATTAAAATTGTGACTTCAAGTGAAGTAAAACAATTATCTGTTAAGTTTAGATGATTAAGTTTATGCATTGTTTTATTAAAAAGGGAAAAATATAATAACTCTATATATTTATTAATTACCGCTTCATATCGGTCATATTCTTTATACTGACCAACGTGCTGGCGCTGGAGTCGCCCGGCACAAACTGGAGCCCGAGCACCATGGGCAGTAATGCTGGTGATCTTGGCGAATGGCAAGAAGTCGTCGATGATGTGTCATTCTGCCCAACGCGAGTATCACCAACAATCCACCTATCTGATTTCTAAAACTGGAGCATCACCAACAGTTACCTATCTGATTTCTAAAACTGATTCTAAGGGATTCTAGTAAAAAAAAAAACAGCTCCAACAGATCTTCTACTCTTTTACTCGAGTTTTGAAGTTTTCTTCTCCCGATTCCTCGCTCGGGCACGTTGTCGCTCCCAATCTTGCACTTTCTCTCCTCCCGTTCCCCCACGAAGATCGGCCCGCAGCGTCGAGGCAGGGAACTTCTAGGCATGTGAAAGGAAAAAAAAATAAATTTCTGTTGGCAGTTTAACTGAAGCGCCCATTTTTTTAGTTTTTGGGATTAAATTTGAGCTCTCTCTTGGAGGGAAGAGTATTTTTTCAGTTTAGGAAACCCAAAATATTTTTTTAGGAGGAGATTATAGGTGATCTGTTGGTGATGCTCTAACTGAAGCTATAACTAATTTTCAACATTATATTTCGTCTACAATTAATCTAGGCAGGTATTCATTTGCCTATGAATAAATGTTCTTTAAGCAATGTATCAAATGCATTTTTTATGTTGATTAGAATAATGAATTATTTTGATTGATCTGTCCTTTAGTGGGCCGCATTGTACGGCGGTAGATTATATTCACCATTCATGTGAGATAATACATGACATTTTCTGATTCAGCTTTTTTCCAAAATTCAAAATTAAGAAAGAAAAGATGAACTTTTACCTATATTTGGACTACTATTTAGCATTGTGCTAATTTAATTATGAAATTTGAGAACAATAGCAAACTTTAACTTATAGGGGCTCTTTTTTATATAATCCAGTATACTCCTTATCCATTCTTTCTATAAAGTTAATACCCAAAGCTGAAACCTCAACGTCCCACGTCATTACTAATTCTCAGCCGTTCGATCGGTGGATGATATCGCATATGAACCGTTGGATGAGAAGGTCCCCGGGTGAAGCCCAGCCCATCACGGCCCATGTCCTCTCTCTCCAAGGTTTCTTCACCCTCCACCGCATCACAACATCCGCCGCCACCACAAGCGCTCGCTTCTCCTCCCCCGTCCCCGCGCGCCAGCCGCCGTGCTCGGCGGACGCGGACGAGCGCGGCAACGACGGCAGCGGACGCGGACGAGGGATGCGACAGCGGTCGAGGGCGCGGTGGACGCGGACGAGGGCGGCGACGGTCGCGGACGAGGGCGGTGGCAGCGGTCGAGGGCGGCGGCGGCGGCGACGACGGCGGACGCGAACGATGGCGGCTGCGTCGGTCACGGCGAACGCGGACGAGGGCGGCAGCGGCGGAGGTCGTGGACGAGGACGGCAGCGGTTGAGGGCGGCGGCAGTGGTCGATGGCGTGGTGGACGCGGACGAGGGCGGCGGCGGCGACGACGGCGGCGGAAGCGGACACGGACGAAGGCGGGAGCATCTGTCATGGCGAACGCAGACGAGGGCGGCAAGCCGACAACGGCGGTCGTGGCATATGATGTGATAATATGTTCTGAGATTTATTTGTTTTGCAGCTCTGATGTGTAGATGAGTACTCTCCGTCTCTCCATCGTATATCGAGAATGCCTATTGCCTGTGATGCCTTCTATGTTTCGGTTCTGAGCAGCAGTAAGCCCATTTTTATCTGTTTTACTGCTATGTGTGTTCCTAATTTTTCTCTTCCATTTCATTAATTAATTAGTTTATCCATTGTGGGTTCTAAATAAAAATATGTTAATTCCCTCTTGACTGACGCCATGAATCAATGACCAGCGTTTATCTTGCAAACCCAGTTAAGTTCTTGCTTATCCTGAACATTTTTCTGACAGTACGTTGGTGAGCTAATCAGTTGGTCCCTTTTGTGTAGGTTGAGCAAATAAGGAGGCAAGATTCTAAGGATTCAAACTTATTGTGTTTAGTTAAGCAACACAACAAGGTCACCACTTAAATCTTTTTTTGTGTATGTATGGATATATTCCCTTTATTCATTGATTTGCACTACTTTAGCACAGCACTAGCTGTCTTATATGGAAATGAATTGGTTACATATTGGTTCAATCTAAATGCATGCATATATATATATATAGTAAATTTGTTTGGTGCTCCATGGTGCCTGGGCTCCATTGTTGAAATTGAGTATATACCCAATTCAAATGAGTATGAAACTTTTTCAATTACTTAGGTATTAACATTAACTACTTTACTAACTAGTTTAAAGCAAGTTTAAACTGAATTTGAACTTGTTTTTGTTAGATTTTGATTCTAGGTATATAGCATCCATACATATAATTAGTTAGGTATGTAATCATGGATTGTGAAATAAAGTTAGATTTGAGTTGTTTTGTTGATAAGTATAGGTATGAATCAAATTATTATAACTAGGTATATACTCACAATTTGAAAAATTTAAAAAATTTGAGTGATTTTGTGCATTAGATACCATGGTGCCCCATATGAGTGTCATATATATATATATATATATATATATATATATATATATATATATATATATATATATATATATATATATATATATATATATATATACACACACACACACACACAGTAGACCCACCCAATTCATTTTGACTAAATGCAATTTCAATTTACTAGGCACTTCCATCAGTTATCTATATGCAAAGATTAATCTTAGAATGCTACGTACTGAAAATATCTCATGTATTTCAGCAGCAATATTAAACCACATTTGTTTCAACCATCAATACTATATGATTTAAATTGTTATAAACCTCACCATCTTAATTATTTATGGCTTTTTTTCAATAGTTGATTAGAGTTGAAAATTATATGAGTGTAACTATTATTTCTTCTAATATCGTAAAAAACTCCCGAGCAACGCGCGGGGCTTCATCTAGTTCTAATAATGACGGAGTTATAAACATCTTCGTCTATCAATTTAGCATTTCTCATTATGAACTTAATCATCATAAAATCGTACCCATAGATTATGTTGGTTTTATATTAAATAAAACATGCCATATGCTCTTTACATTTATAGCTTTTCTAAACAAATGAAATTAATAAATATGGAGCTGTACCAACCTTGGACTACTATTTAGTTTCTATTAATTTAATTTTGAATTTAAAAATAAAAATTAGCATATTGTAACTGGTAGGGATCGGTTTTATCTAATCCACTACAATGTCAAAATAATTCAAACTTAATAACTGTATATCGAGTTGTGACCATGCTAGACTGTTAATTTAGCACTTATTAATCTCTCCTATTATAAAAATTAAAGATGTTTCCGCCAGAATTTTGATACATCATCCGTGTTTGAATTGGTTTTAATTTTTCGTTTCTGTCAAATTATTTCTTTTTTTTCTTACGCTAGAGTATCCCTCTTATCTAGGACATACGGGAATTAATTGGGCCCACACCTTTTCACGCGCTCTTTGCCGCACGCAGCGATCGGGCCCACGCCTGAAATTTGAATCCGTTTTCCACACGTGCCTTTGCGTGTCGCCGCGATTAGGCGCGCAACGCCCTCGCGCACACAATTTTTTGCATACACGATTGGGCCCATGACGCCCTCTCGCATGCAATTTGCCCTTGCCACATGTCCGATTGATACTACGTCACCCTCACCCGCGATTTAAAAATTGAAGATGTTTTTGTCAAAACTATGGTATGTTGTCCGTATTTGATTCCCGACACGTGTAATATTCATTGCGAAGTCACGACTCGTGAGTGAACTGCGAAAGAGAGTCCGTGTGATGTGGATACCAAGCGAATGAAACTCGCAGAGTTCATGTGGGTATCACGTACGTCGTTGCCCAGATCATCCGATTCTATTCTTATTACACAGCACGATTTCTGTAACATGTTAGCATAATTTCAAGTCAGTATCTACACATGTTCGTACGTACTAACAGGGATATCATTACTATAATCCATAAGAATCAATTTTACTTTCGAAAAGAACATGCCAACTGAAATAAAGGATGATTGCAATTGATGATTATGTCCGTTATCAATTCCTACTCGACTTGAGATAAAACTGGACAACAAATCGAGCTCGTGTTTGAATGCCTCATTGTTTGGCTTATGTTTATTCCTATAAGCCAAATTTTAAATTTTATAACTTAATTTTGAATTCGAATTTTTATTTTTTTATCGTATTTTATTCCACAACATTTACTTTTGAGTCGTTAAGAACATGTATATAAAAGATTTGCACACAAATAGTCTTTTATTTGGTAATAAGTGATTCGGATAAGCACATGAATAAAAAAACAATGGGCTATGATTTTTGATCTACTGACACATATGTACAAATTAAATTTGTTCTACCCATTGCAACACATGAGCATCTTTTTTCTAGTTTAAATATATAATTCAAAACTAACAAGTTTTTAAAAATTAATAATCAACATATGTGGTGTAAAACTGTTCATATTATTGTAATAATAAGTATACTCATGCAACTTACGGGTTAACATCTAGTCTTATTTAATAATATTTACTACTACCTCATTCTATAAAAAAATTACATCTATTACTTTTTTTCATCACGATCAAGTAGAAATTAACTCATCTTGCATGTAACATAGATCAAAGATTACACATGCAACCAATGGTTTTTAAGATGGTTACTCGGGTTGTGATCAACCATTTAATTTATCTCTTTATTTAATTTTTGGATGTGTAGGGACTTTAAATAAGAACAATCTATTTAGAAAAATTAAAATATAAAATATGTCTGACTCTTTTATATGAAACGAGTAAATTTTAGGACGAACGGAGTAGTTTGTGATTGATTTGTCGACATCTGGAGGCGTCATGCAAGATGTCACATCCATAGAAAATTGCCACTAGTGTCGGGTATAATAAAGTCTACTGTCCTGGGCATTCACCGGAGACCGGGCACAGCAGTAGCAGCCAACGGCCGCGCCGCCACAACATGGCGTCGTTTCTTTCCCGCGCCGCCGCCGTCTCCCTCCTCGCCATCGTCCTCGTCCTGACTGCCGCCACGTCCACCTCCCCTGCGGCCGCGGCCGCTCGGTTCCCGGAGGAGGCGCGCCCCACGAGGTCGGGGTACCTCAACGTCACGTCCACCAACTCACTCTACTTCGCCTTCTACGAGGCCACCGACCCGGTCACCACGCAGCCGGCCGCCGTGCCGCTCCTCGTTTGGCTCCAGGGCGGCCCCGGCTGCTCCTCCCTCATCGGCAGCTTCGCCGAGCTCGGCCCCTACCTCCTCCTCGACTCCACCTCCGCCCTCGCCCGCAACGACAACCGGTGGAACCGCCGCTTCGGCGTGATCTTCATCGACAACCCGCTCGGCGCCGGTTTCAGCGCGCCTGCCTCCGGCGACGACATCCCGACCGACGAGCGCACCATCGCCGCGCACCTCCTCGCGGCCCTGCAGTCGTTCATGGCGCTCGATCCGGCCTTCCGCGCGCGCCCGCTGTTCCTCACCGGGGAGAGCTACGCCGGCAAGTACATCCCCGCGGCCGCGTCGCACATCCTCGACGCCAACGCCAAGCTCACGGACGACCGTAGGGTGAACCTCCAGGGCATCGCCATCGGCAACGGCATGACGCACCCGGTGGCGCAGGTGACCGTGCACGCCGACCAGGCCTACTTCGCCGGGCTGATCAACGCCGAGCAGAAGGCCAAGGTCGAAGAAATGCAGGACAAGACGGTAAGCCTGATCAAATCCAAGAAGTGGGCCGCGGCGAGGAGGGAGAGGAACAGGATCATAGCGTTCCTCAAGAACGCCACCGGCGTCGCTACGCCGTTCAACTACGCGCGGGAGAAGGGGTACCCGACGCGGCCGCTCCGGGACTTCCTCAACACCGGCGAGGCGAAGGCGGCGCTGGGCGCGAGGAGCGACGTGGAGTGGGCGCGCTGCAGCGAGGCCGTGTCGGCGGCGCTCGCCGACGACATCATGAGGAGCGCCAGGGGCGACGTGGAGGCCGTCTTCCTGGCGCCGGATGGCGTCCGGGTGCTGCTGTTCCAGGGCGTGTTCGACCTGCACAGCGGGCCGGCGTCCGTGGAGGCGTGGGTGAGGGAGCTGGCGTGGCCTGGCCTGGGCGCGTTCCTCGCCGCGGAGCGCGCCGTGTGGCGGCTCGGGGACGAGCAGCTCGCCGGGTACGTGCAGAGGTCGGGGGCGCTCGCGAATGCGGTCATCGTCGGGGCCGGGCACATGGCGGCCGGCGACAACCGGCCGGCGGCGCAGGCGATGATCGAGGGATGGGTGTTGCAGACGGGGCCGTTCGACGGAAGCGGTCAACGAGTCGTTGGCTCCTTATTCTGACTTACGGGTGGGCTTGATTTTGACTGAAATAAATGCTTTTTGGTACTCGTACACATATGCTGTTTTAACTAACAATATCTATATAAAAGTAATATATTTCAAATAAAAAGAGTTGTATTTTATGATAGCTTGTTTAACAATAAATCTACTAGTAACATCAATTTTATATGATTGATTTTTTTATTTTTTTTATATTAATAGTCAAAGTTTAAAATGTTTGACTTGACACTATGCTCAAAATAACGGATAGAGTACTAGATTACATCGATTGATTTATCATTTTGAATACCAAGATAGTTTCTTTGAGTAATATTTATTAATATATATATTTATAAAAACTTAATAAAAATATAATTATGTGAAAGTGTTTTCATAACAAATATATAAATTTTATTTTCACATATTAAATCTTAATATTTTTAATTTATTAATAAGATAAGATATCAAAATTTGACCACAAGCATTCTAGGATATCTATCCTTTTGATAATGGAGGTAGAACCTCCCTGACATAGGTTGCATGATCTATTTTGTATTAATAAAAATGTTATACGTATGTACATGTGTGGATATCATGTAAATACAAAACTTAATACCTTCACGTATATACGTATATGTATAAACTTTATATCTTAACTAATTAAAAGATTCGTATTTTTCCAATCGTCACCTCCTTTTCACCCGTGATTTTTGTTAAAAAAACCGTCTATTTCGTCCGTCGTCCCTCATAGGAGTCGAGTCCGATTCCCTAAAAAAATCCCCCATCTTGATCCCCAAATAAATCAAACAATGAGACAACCAAAAACACTCATAGGATTCGAGTCCGATTCCTTAAAAAAAAATCCCCCAACTTGATCCCCAAATGAATCAAACAATGAGACAACCAAAAACAACATAAAGAGCAATTTTAATCCGAGTAGAGCTCATGAACTTGATCCCAATGTCCGATTCCATGAAAAAGAAACAAACTCGGGCGAAAAAAAAGGCGACCGGATCTGCCCTCGGCCGCCGCCGTATCCACCAGCGGCCGTCGCCGACTGCCGTTGGATCGCCCTCAGCCGCCGCCACCGCCTCCGGATCCACTCGCCGCCGCCACCGCTGCCGCCGGATCCACCCGACGCCACCACCGCCACCGAAGGCAGAAGAGAGGCGGCGGCCGTCACCGACGCCACCACCACCGACTGCCGTCGGATCCGCTCTTGGCCGCCGCCACCGCTGCCGCCGCCGCCACCGCTGCCGCCGCCGCCACCGCCGGATCCACCCATCGGAAGTAGTGGAGGGAGCCGCCGTGGCCGCTCACGGTGGGGAAGGCCGCGGACGCCGCTAGCGACCAGAGAGAGGACGGGATCCAGTCATCGGTGGAGGATCCGCGCAAGAGGGGAGCAGGGGAGATGACGGGATGCGTGTGGGAGGGGAAGAAGTCGTCGGTTCCCTCCCCGCCCACCTGCCTCGGTTGCCCGTCTGCCGCCTCGCTTTGCTCCAACCGTGGCTCTCTCGCCGGCTGCCACACCGCTGCGTTGCAGTCTTACATAGAGGGAGAACAGAAACGATGGCTGGGAGAGAGAGAACGAGAGAGTGATACAAGGTGAGAGGATAATGATCTCCATCCAGTCCACCGCCCACCACACAATTCTCGCCTCAAGAAACCTGCACGCGGCATCTGACTCCTAGCAGTTTTTCATATTTACCCCTAATAGTATATTTTATCATATACTTAAGTAAATACAAAATATTTCTAAAAATACCCCCAGATTAGTACTCACACATTGATATCCAGGACCTTGGCAGTTTTAATTTTACAAGACTGGACTGATGTACAAACTACCTTTTATAGCTCTGCATATTGAGCTGACCATATAAGTCATTAACCTCAAAAAATATATATGTGTTATATATTTTGTGATTAACATATTTTGTATATACCAATAAAAAAATACATAAGGCTTCCAGGTATTTTTTTGACCGTCCTTTTTTTACGATTTTTTCCACCGTTTTTGTCGCTTAAGTCGTTTCTTTTACTTTTGCATGCGGAACGGTGTGCGCAACCCTAGCGTGTATGCGTGTCGATCTAGGTTGAAGACGGCAGCCCCGGATAGGATTGGGAGTATCAGCTCCCTTATGGTACATGGAAAGACTGTTTTCAGGAGGTTGAAGACGGCAATCTATGCGAGTTGAGCCTGCAGTTCCACTTGTGGGCTGCAGGCCGAGCGGAGGAAGGTGACGGACTAGGCGGGGCTGAAAAGAAATGATTTAATGGGCTTTCGAATTAAAACCAAGGAAGATGTAAAATTTATCGCAATCAATTTTACCTAGTGCAATGCACGTGCATTTTACTACAAAAGTTTTATTTTAGATCACATGTTAAGCTATGCTTTTACTTTGGACCGGACAACATTTTCTTTGTTTGCGTCTTGAACCACCTTCGCTGTTCATCTCTTTCATCCCCACCCAAAACCCGGCTAGCTGGGAACTAGAGGGGACGCACACGCTACTGGTGCTGAGTGGCTCGAGCTCAGACATTGCGTGAGCTCCATCCATGTTGCACCATGGTCAAGCCTGGCTTGCTCGGTTTGGTTCCACTCCATCATAAGTGGAGCCAATTTTCCTATCTCTTCTTATAGGTACCGGTTTATTATAAAAACATGGGGGGAGGGAAATGAAATCTTGGGTTAGGGTTAGGGTTTGGCTGTAGATATTTATATAGGTTAGGATCAATCTGAACTGTCCATTCGATTGGACGGCTCTGGCTTACCCTGCTCGGGCCGCCGAACTATTGGGCCTCCAAATAGGCCAACAAGTTTGCGCAATCAAAGGAGGAGTTAGGGGACGTAAATTAGATTTTATTTACGGGCTGAGACAGTAAAAGGACTGAAAATGGCCCATAGAGAAATTGTGGTTTTTATTTACATTTTTATTTAAATAAATGATGTTTGTGTTATCAAATTAAGCTTCAAAAATTCCAATTAAAATTCAAAGAGCGTTATTAATCATGATTAATTCAATAAAAATTAAATCCAACCATATCATATTATTTCACGGCCTGCGGTGGGAAAATACACAGCTGCTGTCGGTGGGAGAGAAGGGGCATTGTTTATGTCCAGAACTATCTCCTATAACTCCCATGGAACTGTAAAATAACTATAATCATTATTTTAACATTAGTTTTTTTCTGTTGCAACGCACTATTGAATAATATTTTGAGAACGGTTAAAAACACACTATTTTTAGTTTTTTTATTGGACAAATATTTTAAGTTTTAATACACCGTATCGAAGCACGGGTATTTTGCTAGTACTTATAAATATATTTATAAAGTTTATACGTGTAGCGACAACGGATTGATCACCCGTATCCGGTCAGCCGCGCATCAGCGCAGGCGTATCTTGTGCGGTCAGTTGATGCTGGTAGCTATGCATGCACTTGCATCTGATCCTTGCGTGCAGGTCAAAGGGGCCTACAATTCGAATTGAATGGTAGCCAGTACACAAAATTGAATGGGCCTTGAGAAGTCCACGGTTATGACATTAAAACAAGGGAGGAGAATAGCTAATATGGTCCTAAAGTTTCGCTCGTGGGTCATTTTAGTTCTTAATCATTCGTATTGTCTAAACAAGTCTTTTAAATTTATCATGTGGGCTAATATAATCCTTGGTCCCCACCAAAATCGCCACATGGACATGCCATGTCACCTTCCTATGCAAAATCTATATGATTTGTCCAATTTACCCTTATGCATAGGTAAATAAAAAACAAAAGAAAAAAGTTAAAAAAATATATGGTACATGTAAGAGCAAAAATATACCTCAAAAGGATGAAAAAAGAAGTATTTTTTCCTATGGTTATGTCTAATTCACCCTTATATTTATTTTTCTATGATATACGTAAGGGTATATTGGACAATTCATTATAGATTTGTATGAATGATGACATGACATATCCATATGATGATTTTGGTGGACACAAGGACTATTCTACGTCTTATGACAAAGGTTAAGAATTTCTTTGGACCATTTAAAAGGTTAGGGACTAAACTGATCCTACAGAGAAACTTTAGAGACTAAAGTAGATATTCTCCCTTAAAACAACAAGCCAGGGACACTTAAAAAAAATATGTAATTAGTTGTGAGACACCGTAAATATATGAATTGCCGCAGAGACCGCGCCGCGCCAGCACGCACGCCCTGGCACGTATTACCGTCGCCCGCGCCGTGCTCGGCCCTCGCTGTCGCACGGCCACACTGGCGCCGTCCGATCGTTCCTCTCATTGCTCAACCGCTGCACATGGCAAGGAACCATGAAAAAGGAGGAAGATGGAAAAATGATGAAAAAGGCGCTCATGGACGTCGCGCACGCCGCTACCGCATGGTTGAACGGCACCGTCGCCCGGCCCCCACAGCCACACATGCACAAAGCCATCGCCCTGTCACGCCTGCGCGAACCCATCGCATCCAATCGCGCCACAGTTCCCGGTTGCATCCGCGCCCGCCGCATCCAGCCGCGTCGCCATGCCCGGCGCCCCGGCCGTGCTCGCCCTCCGGCCGCTTGCAGCGCCGGCCACTCGCGACGACGGCCCCCCACCATGGCCACCCGCCCGCTCCGTCGCTCGCACAGCACCAGCATCCGTAGCGTCGACTGTCCGCCTCGCCCCTGGTGTCCACTGGCCGCCGTGACTCCCCACCTCGCCCCCCCTCCCCCCTACGCGAACAGAGCTGGCAGGTGCAGCTGGAGCGGCGTCACGTGACGACGAGGCATGCGCCGGTGCCGCGTGCGTGAGGGCAATCCGGGCTTTTTCGATTGTTTCTCTCTCCATGTTGTTCGGAAATAATAAAATAATACCATTGGTGTCTAGTAGCTAATTACCATTCTTTTGCGGTGTCATATAGCCAATTCATGTCTTTGCGGTATCCTATGACTAATTACATGTTCTCGAGTGTCCTGTAAAAAAATTTACCAAACAATAAAGATATGATTGATGATTGATTATTGATGAGTGGTTAGATTTTTTTTCTTTAAGCCAAATTTTGCTACAGATTTTACGGTTTTAGCTCTTGTATACGACGAAAGTTGATTTTTGGGAAGATATTTTAAAAATATGGTTCTTTACTGCTAGACACCGCAACAATTAAAATATATATTTTTTAAGTAGAATAGGAGAGATAAATAGTGTGCAAAGTTAAAAATACCTTAGGACCCAAATGTCATATTCTTTTTCCTCCTCCCTACTCACCCTACCCAGGCCGCGTGGTGCAGGCATGGGCGGCGAGGCTAGGGCCAAGTGGAGGCTGTGACCGTGCACGCTGAGACCAGCGTGGGCACGGACGTTATACTTTTCAAACGGTTAAACGTGTATTTTATCTGAAAATTTTTCTATGCATAGGTTGGTTTAAAAATATCAAATAAATATATTTTAAAATTTGTAATTATGTGCTAATGGGTTTTTTTTTTCGGCGTATCCTAACTTCATCTCCATCTCACCGGACCTGATCTGGAGCTCCCGTAACAACAATTTCGAGCACCAACATTCAAACAGTAGACCGTTTGTGTTCAGCCAAAAAGTTCAACCTAGACCGCACTTCTTACTAGTACAAAACATAGGAATGGACTTTGATACAGGTAGTCGTGGAAGCGATCAGTGACATCATGCTTTAATGGTGAGCCGGTTGCTTAGAAGCAATACCAAGATTTTGTTAGACTTTGGCAGAAGAGACTAAGGTGGTGTTTGAATCCAGGGACTTAACTTTAGTCCCTGTATTTAGACACTAATCTGTCCCTGTATTTAGACACTAATCTAGAGTATTAAATATAGACTACTTACAAAACTAATTACATAAATAAAAGCTAATTCGCGAGATAATTTTTTTAAGCCTAATTAATCCATAATTAGAGAATGTTTACTGTAGCATCACATATGCTAATCATGGATTAATTAGACTCAATAGATTTATCTCGTGAATTAGTCTAAAATTATGGATGGGTTTTATTAATAGTCTACGTTTAATATTTATAATTAATTTTCAAACATCCGATGTAATAGGGACTTAAAAGTTTTAGTCCCATCTAAACAGGGTCTAATTCTGCGCTACTCTCATTGTGTTTTCACAACCTAGTGGAGACAGCTCGACATAAACAAACGGATATTCGACGTTCTACCAGATAGGTAGCGACACAGCTCCTAATCCATGTCTAGTTCCAAGTTAAATGCGTAATATGAAGCTACGGTAAACCGCGCAATTGTCTGCTTTATATCTTTCTCAAGTCATTCTGATGTAGCACTTTTGATATGAGAAACATCTCTATACAACATTGGAAAAAGAAAAAAAAAAGAGGAAAAGGTTAGTGGTCCTTCCTTTCCCTTTTGTCCCCTCACCCTAGAAATACAATTGGCGCCTAAAATATGCTCAGATTACAAGCCACTGGACTACCCCCTTCAAGTGTGCAACGAAGGGCACATTTTCTTACACACACACAGGCAGATACAAGCTGATTTGCCTAAAGCGAATAGAGAGTTGAAAAGCTTTTGACACCTCCGGTGGTGGTTCCTGATCAAGCAGGAACAGGAGCAGCAGGGCACCAATGCAACTTCTTAGGCATCGTCGTCAACCTTGGATTGCCCTGTGCTCTTGGTGCCCAAACTAGCTTGAACTGCCACTTTGTTCCCAATGCTTCGCCGCAAGCTAGCATCAGAGCTCCCATTGGGCATGCAGGATGTGCCATGGTTGGGCACTAATACATCCTCGACATGCCGTAGGGAACAACACCGACCTTTCTGTGCGCACTTGCTGCCACTCCCGCAGCAGTAGCAGCGAGGCCATTGAGAGATCTCGTGTATAGGTTTGTCTCTGCTGCTAACCTTTCGGACGAATCGCTTTTCGGCCCTCCTGATAGATGGAACGGGGGTGCTCTCATGTCCAGAGCAACATCAGTCACAGTGGCACTGTTTGCGCAAGTGTAGGCCTGCTGGTGCAGCGTATACCTTTCGGCCTGCGACAGCTCAGAACAAGCTGACTTACCGGGTATCTGATAATAACCATAAGCTTGAGGGATTTGTTGCTGGGGAGGATACCCTGAGTTCATTGCCAATCTCCGTGCGTCATAGGAATCCTTTGTGGCACCATTTTCATAAGGCAATACTGGACCAACAACTCTTCCTGGTCTTGCTGTAAAATAAAGAATTACCGCAGATTAGATTCGACTATTATCAACCAAACATGTACAGTATATAATGTATTAACCACAAAGCACCTGTTGGCACTCTTTGTGGAGCTTGTGAGGTCCTCGGGGCATTGCCAGAAAATCTGTCAAATTCCCGGGGATTGCTATAGGGTTCATCAGATGGTTTATCCCTTGATGGGCCAATGCGGGGCTGTTCCTTGGCAGGAATTGGAGTTGAGTGAACAATAGTAGACCTGCAAAACGTAGCAAATGATTCATGATTCAATCTAACTTAAACACAAGAACAAAGTGATCAACCAGGTAGAAGAGAAAATAAAAGTTCTTCGATGGCTTTTTTTTTTTAAAAAAAAAGGTTAAAGTCACAAGAAACACTAAGGGCAATTCAACTTGGCCTTCTTGAATCAAATCAAAGTGGATGTACCAGTAACAGACTACCAGTTTCTCATGCAATACCTGAAAGTTAAACTTAGTACTGTACTAATCTATAAACAGAGAGCAACACACATATTAGTACAGTACTAAGTTTAACTTTCAGGTATTGCATGAGAAATTGGTAGTCTGTTACTGGTACATCCACTTTGATTTGATTCAAGACACCTTGTCCTCAGCACATCAGGTATGGTCAATGTGAAGCTTTTAAAAGTGTGACCTTTCCTTGAAGGCAAGAATAAAGTTTCCAGTATGATTTTACACCGTTCGAAACATAGACGATAGGAAAAGAGCAGCTCTATCAAGCTCTGTAATGTGCTTAAAAGTGTTCTGAACAACTGCAACTAGTATGAAAAAACACAGGTTAAACTGAACAGAACGTATGAATAAAAACAATACCTGGGAAGAGAAGTGTGCTTTCTATCCATTGGAATTACCGGGCCATTTCCACCATTTTCTTCAAGATGGGCAAATTGCTTTCTAAATTGATCAACAGCACTACATAACAAAAATGGGTGTTGTTCTCAGTAGAAATTGATTGAATTAAAAGCACAAGAACATGCATGTGCAACAAAAAACAAAGGTTGGTTCTGGTACATGCATGTGCAAAGGGTCATATATATGTTATATCCAAAGATATGATTGCTAAAACCTTGGGTATAGAAAGGTTGTTCTCTCGGTGCCATTGATATAGTCTTTGAGCAATTGTGGATGGTATTCCAGTATTTCACGGAATATCAACTCTCTTATATCTTCCTTTGTCACTCTTCTACGCTCAAACTCAAACTCCATTTTTGTGATAGGTTGACAGGATGGTTCTCTCTCAACTTTTGCGAGCCCTTTGAAGTATGGATGAGCCAATGCCTGACATGAATAACGAATAACTAAATAATTTTCACAGTTTGAAAATACAATATTTAGTGCTGCTGAGATTAAACAAAGCTGCACCATGCACCATGCTGTTTAAATAGTTACCTCTTCGGCAGTTGGACGGTCCTTTGGATCGAATGCTAATAGTTTTTGTAGAAGATCCAACGCCAAAGGATCTGCACTAGGAAACTTCTGCGAAAATAGGATTGGCTCCTTCTTTCTCATGCTACTCAGATACCTCCTTGCTTTGTCATTCCGGACCTGAGAATAGATTGCCAATGTCAACCTTCCATAACTTAGGTGATACCCAGCAGATAATCAACAGAAGGTTTCCCTGAAAGAATAAGTATCATACCCGAGAAATTGTATCCATGGATGGCGTGCCCAGAAGATCAGTCATCAAATCTAATTGATGGACAACATTTTTACCAGGAAATAAAGGCTTTCCTGTCAGCACCTCAGCAAAGATGCATCCAATGCTCCAAATGTCAATGGCTGGTGTATACTGCAATTTTGTTGAGAATAAATTAACTAATACTACACAGAAAAAATTATCATATTTACATGGTTCAATATTGTCTACACTTCTAAAAAGAGTTGGAGACGACTGTATGCTCTATCTCCATACCACACCCCAGGAGATGTTATATGGCTAGATTTATGTATACATGTGTGTTGTTTGCAAGATGTTTTACAAAAATTACATTCTTTGAGCGTATGCACATATAGGTGGTCGGTTGAAATCGAGTAGTCATGAGTATAAATTGCTAAACTTTAGATTTTTACTTTTGCGTTTCTAATTTTAGATCTTACAGAATACTTATTTGGTATCCATCAGGCCATCACAATGAATGTGCGGACACGATTCCCAGTCAACCAAATACATATAAGATGGCAGTATAGCATCATTGACCTCTCCTAGTCTTAGCCAAATTAAAACCAAGAATGATATAGTCCATAGCCAACTTAAAACCAAGAATGCTATAGTCCAGCACAAAACTTACCTTTGAAAAGAAGGATCCACAGAGCTCTGGAGCCCTGTACCATCTTGTTGCAACATAATCCTGCAGGCAAATGAAGAGACATCAGAGGTGATCCGCGTACACAAATAAGCCAGAAGCCAAAGGTTTAGACAAAACTAAGTTAAAGATAGATATTTCCATGAGCATACCGTCCAAAAGATTGTTGTCGGAGTATCATTGAATGCAACTCGCGCCAGTCCAAAATCACAAATTTTCAGTTTGCAGTTGGAATTAGCTAATATATTCTTCGGCTTCAGGTCCCGGTGATAAACATTAGCTGCAGTCACGTGGACTTAGTATAAGCAAAGCTTGCAAAAGGAAAAAGTAGCACATCTGCATAGAACATTTATGCACATTCTGCTGATAAGAGAATTGGAAAAATGGTAGTGTTGTTCAGAGATTACAGCATAAGCAACCAACCAATATGCAAGTCATAAGCAGATTATTTAATACAAGAACTCTAAAATAATGAGGAAGTAACACATTATCTATCAAGAATACCTGGGATCCTGCGCATTTTCTACCCTTAAAGGTTGCAAAAACAGAGTGATCTTTTTGAAGCATTGAATTCAATAGGGCCCCAATAGGGCCCATATGTTTTGCACCTCTCCCCATACCCACCCAAGGCACTTGTTGACACTTGAGACCAGTTGTTTTACGCTATAAATCTGCAAATCATGCTAATCCCATAATTTTATATGGAAATTGCATGAATATCCTACAAGAATCTTACGTAGTACACTAACCAAAAAGGAAGGTATCCAAAGGTAATAATAATATATCTAATCAGGAGACACTGACTCAATGCAGGTTCACTAGAGCACATACATTGTGTGATTCACGTTACATATGATCTTCAAAGCAAAACAATGGACTGAAAGTGACAGTTCCCTACCAGTGTGAATGTATTTCAGAGCCCGGAGTAGTTGGTAAAGAAAGAACTGATAATGCTCCTTCGTCAAGTCATCATTAGCCTTTATAACTTGGTGAAGATCAGACTCCATAAGCTCAAAAACTACATAAATATCTTTGAAATCCCTCCTCGATGGAGGCAACATAATGTGCTTGATCTCAACTATGTCAGGATGTCTTAGCAGCCTCAGAAGCTTGATCTCACGGAGAATCCGTGCAGCATCAGATATGTGTTCAAAGATATCGTGTATCTTCTTGATTGCCACTTTCTCTCCAGTGTGGACATCTATCGCTGAGCACACCACCCCATAGCTTCCCTTACCAATAACTTCCTGAATCTTGTATCGACTTGCATCGCCATACTCCGTGAAAAAATCCGCCTCTGTAGAACTCTGTAAAACAATGGCAGATATCAAGTTAAGAACCACTGAAAACAAAATCACCATTTAGAAAAGGCCACATCAAAAGAAGCTTCAGTGATTAATGGACCGTCTGTCCTCACAATCATATGCAGGTAATTAATGCAAAATGGTCAATGCAGCATAATCCAGAAAGAATGAATGGCACGAAAATTGGAGTATCGCAAAAACCAAGGCAGATCTCCAGAAACTTTTGATGGCCGAAACGTAAATGACCAGATAATTATGGTGCTAGAACCAGCATTAACGAACCGATGCAAATCTCAATTGCTCTGCAGATCAAGACAAATATCTTTACGAGCTACAGATCTCAAAGCTGTAGTTGCCAGAACTGGCATCCTCGGATGCTGCACTTGTGAAGCCAAGTGCTCGTGCACAGATCAGGAGAACCCCACAAGAAAAGGCATCAGCTTTGCTCACCGACAAGGGAAAGGAATGGCCCCCATGCCTCTGCGCGGGCGGCGCCTCGATGCCACACAGGGGTGCGGTCAACTTTTGCATGTGAATTACAAGTTGTTATAGTATGGGAGCACCAAATTTCAGCTTTTCATCCCAAATGTGGGCAAAAGTCTTTCCGAAACGCAGTGCAGTGCGAGGGGATTGCAGAAAACGAATGGAACAACGGCAGGAAGGAGGGAAGAAGAACGACATATAATCATGCGAAGGACTCCCAACTCAATTTGGACTAGAAGGATCAGCAACGGCTAACCAACAACAGAACAAGGACCAAAAGAAGACATTTATGCCGAACAGCAACGGCGATTCAAACTTTCGAATTGACACGGCATTGAAAAAAGGAAAAAATAAACTAAAACAGGCACACGCCGAATCCATCAGAAAGATGCCAGAAGGTCACCGACGTAAAAAAATTTCTGCTGAACTGAAAGGGAAAGAAAATCCTATCATGATGATGCCATATACTAACAACGTCAAAATTCTACAGAACTGAAATCTGGAGGTAAAAATAAATCCGTTCAGAATGACGCAAGAACGTCAACGACATCAGAAAGGGGAAAAAATCGAACTTCCAGACGGGCAGAGACCCAAATCATCGCAAGGAAGCCGCACGAGCAGCTCAAACCGCACAGAAACGGCAGGGCAAGCGGAAGAGCACGGAACCAATTCACACCGAAGCAAAGAACGCTCGAAACCAAGAGAGAGAGATCTCCCGAGCCAAAACCAAAGCCCACCTTCTTGCGCTGATCCTGCTGCATCTCGCCGCCCCGCCGGATCTCGCACCAAAAATATCCTCAGAAACAAACGCCGCCGCTTCCCCTCCCTCCCGGCTACCACAGCAACCCCAACAAGCCCACCTCCAGATCAATCCGCCAAGAATCAACGGGTCAGACTCAGACACACGGCATTGGCTCGCGCCGCGCCGCGCCGCCGCGAGGCCGAGAAAAGCGCACACGCCGCAGGTGAGGGGACGGGAAAAGGCCGGAAGGAAGGAAGGCGCGGGCGGGGGGAGACCCTAACCCTAGCGACCGCCTGCGCCGGCTGGGGGCAGGGCTAGGGCTCCCTCTCCTCCTCTTCCTCCTCCTCTCGCCTTCGCTCTGCGCGAGCCCTCAAGAGAGAGAGAGAGAGAGGAATAAGAGAGAGAAGCACGGGAGGAGAGAGAGAGAGAGGGTGGAGGTGGCCGGTGCGCTTTCTTTTCTCGCCATGAATCTCGGGGATGGGTTTGCTTTAAACTTCGCGCTCGGACGAGATTGCCCTCCCCTTCCCGGTTGGCCGACTGTCGTGGGTCGCGTGCGGTGGGCCGGCGCGGCGGCCGTCCGATCGGCATCTGACGTCTATTGGGCGGAGGCTGGCAAGGTCAATCCTTTTGTTAATTAATTAATTTCGAAATCAAAATACGGCAGTTTCCTAGCGCGATCGTTTTTTTTACCGTACCAGCTCGGCGTATTTTAGGACTGTTCGCCGGTTACAAAGTAGCAGGGTCAAACTTGGTAGTAGCAGTAGTAGTTTTTATCCTCTCCGGATAATCACCAACCCTTTCGGGGATTTGTAAAAATGGTCGTTCTTACTCCTGGGTTAAAACCGGATAAGTGTAGTAGTAGTATATCAGTATAGGAGCAAAAGGAAGAAAGTATTGAATACTGTCTTCTTATATATAGTTGACCACCCTGGAACTGGAAGGGGATCAAACTGTTGGCAGTAACTAGGCTTATCCGCATTCAATAAAAGCCAAGCCAATCCATCCAAAATACCTTGGCGCTTTTTAACGGGGCTCGCGTGTCTGCCGCCCGTTGCGTGTTTTCCGCCGACGTCGAGCCGTGCATGCACGGCGGTGGCAAAAGCCTCAGTAAATAGGCCGCGGCGTGGGCAGCCCCAGCCGCAGCGGCGCCGTCAGTAGGCTAGGCGCGCCCGGGGAAAATTAACTATCTCCACTTTTAGATTGAACAATTATCCAAATACCCCTTTTAAGTTTTAAATTTGCATATATTTTTTTCTCTCTTAAGAAATATATTCTTAACTATTTGCCACTTTTACCTACATGACATACTAACATGGCAACGAAAAGTAGAAACCGGTGTGGGACCCACTAGTCAGCCTCTCCTCTCTCCGGTCCGGCGTGGCGCCGCACCACGCCCACCGCCGCCCCTACGCCTCCTCCTCCGGTGCCGCTGTTCCACCGGGGGCGCCACCGCGAGGGGCCCGTCCGGCGACACTACGCCTTCTCCGCCAACGCCGCCGCCGCGAGGGCCCTGTCTGCCGCCACTACACTTCCTCCTCCGCCGGCGCCGCTGCTACACCTCCTCGGTCGTCGCCTCCACTGCCATCTCCACCACTGTGAGGAGCACCTCTGCCGCTGCTCGGCCTCCATCTCTGCCACTCCAGCCCAACGATGCGGTCACCTTCACTGTCGCCAAGCACGATGGCGCCGGCATCGACGAGCTGGCCACGGATGACCCGAGGGAGGTTGCCAAGATTGCATCGCTCGTGCTGGCGCTCCCGCAGGGCGGCGCAGTGCTCACCGTGCAGGCCACCGTGTTGCTGCGGCTGGCGGCGCCGCGCAGCCTCGCCCTCGGCGTCACAGTGCACCACGCCGCATGCGACAGCGTGAGCACGACACACTCCACACCTGCGCTGCCTCTACTCCGCCGCCGGTTGGATCCTCACCGTCTGGGTGGCTGGGACACCCGGAGGTGGAGAAGAAGGAGAGGAGAGGGGCTGACGGGTGGGGTCCACGTTTGTTTTCACGTGGGCACGACACGGCGGCACGCCACGTAGGCAAAAGTAACAAATAGTTAAAAAATCATCTCTCTCCAGTGACAAATTATTAAGAAAAAATCTAAAAGAAATACTCCCTCCGTTCCATAATATAAGGCACAACTACTTTTTTCAAATGTTCCATAATATAGAGCGTGCATGCATGCATACATGCAATTAATTAGTACCTCTTCCCTATTAAATTATGTTTTTTTAAATCCTCCACCCTTAAGATCTCTAATTCTATTGGGTGCATGTATTTTATTTATTATGGTGATACAAATTAGGAGATAATAATAATTGTTTCTTGGTCTTTGAAGTAAGGGTGGTTGTACTTATATTTTAGAATGGATGAAATATTTGGATAAGTGATAAATCTAAAAGTGGCAAATAGTTAAATTCCCCGGCGCGCCCGGGCCAGGCAGCCTCGATCGCTCGGGTTGGATGCGGCGGCCGCTTTGCGTGGCTGCCAGGCTTCTTCCCTCGCCACCAGAACAACCGCACGCGGCGCGCGCCTCCCGAATCTTCCTTCCTCTTTACCGTTGCGTGCGCAAAATCAAAATTTTCCCCACTCTTCTTTTCTCCCTTTCTTTTTTTCCTCTCTCCCCCCCTTTTTTTTTTATTTTCTCACTCTTTTCTACGATGTTTTACTTCTTTTCTTTTACTTTGCGTCTTGGGTTCTTAGCTTGCTGCTCACTTTTACTTTTGGTTGGTCATTGGATAAGCCTCCGTTGGGTAAAAGAACGTGGTACTGGTAGACAGCCAATACGTGAAAGGTTGAAAGAGGAGGCGTATATGCACTCGCACACTTCTTCTCAAAATAAAATTTGCTTTTCTTTGTAAAAGTGTCTGCTACGTCAGTACGTGTGCGCCTCCGTTTGACGTTATTCATCTGCGCTGTGTACGTTTCGTGAGTGGCTTTTAGCTTTGGGTGGGCATTAGGTGGTGGGCATTTTTGATTTGTGATGGAATTGAGGTTTCAACTAATTAAGTGTGCCTTTCTGCCGCATCCTGAAGGTTCATCCTGTGCTGCTTTTTCTTGAAGAAAATCTTTGCTGCATGCCCTGCTCTTTTTCAGGGAGCTGACAGTTGTAAGATTGCTAGCCTAAATTTGGTGCAATTTGAGGGTAGTATTTAAGGGCTTGTTTGGTTCGGAACCAAATTTTGCCCTACCAAATTAGGTTGTATTGAATTTGAATTATTGTAAGTAAAATTTGGTAGCAAATCAAATATGCACTTCCTACTATATAAGTTACCAAAATTTTGACAGGACAATAAATTGGTATCAAACCAAATCAGCCCTAAAATATAGTATTAGTACCCATTTTAATAAAAAATAATAATAAGCTTAACTACTACAACATTTGTATTTGCGACTCTATTAATACACCTCATCACCCACAACAAATTTCATACAAGTATAACATATCATCTTCTCCCCCATATCATTTTCATAATATTTTATGATCCATCATTTATATATCCCTCCATCAATTCCACAGGAAAGCGCGGGATATCACCTACTTTAAAAAAAGATAGCGATGTTGGCTGCGAATTTACCACCACCCCATTTATTTCCATTGTATACTTTGTAAAATAACCACCTACCCCCCCCAACTTCTATGGTTTCATTATATGCTTTCTAGGACAACATTTAAAATGGTGCACTGTCAAATTAGCAATCGTGCGTGTACAAAATACACATGTCCATATACACTAGTACAGAGTAGCACACAAATGCTGGTTCAAAAGGATCCAACAATGCTGAATTTGGAACGAGCATTGCTAAGTACACTTTCGTGATTTTTTATGTAAAATAAAACCTAGTCAAGGCTGCGTCTCGTTAACTTTGAACTAAAAAAAAAAGTCGTTTTGTGATGGTAGAGAGTATGTGGTTTTTTCTAGCTTGTTTCATAAGTGGTTCCTCCTTCCCACCACAAAGTTCCGGCTCAAATTCCACAAGTTGAGTAATTAATTTTGCCAACAACAACACGGGCGCGCATGCAAGATGCCTCATTCGATCATGCAAAGCATGTGCATATGCATATTATTGGAAGTAACAGATGGAGGATCGGAGTGTAAACTAGTGGCATCATGGCTTTAGTTGCTCCTTAATTGTTAATCTATGCACACCACAAGATCAGTCTTCAAGAAAAATATACTATCCGGACACCACAGGAGCTTTCCAATCAACTACTACCATGAGTCTTTGACACACACTGATAGGACTGCTAAACTACAGTTCTAGAAGCTCTTTCTTGCACATCCTTTTCTCTGAGGGGTGTTTTCCTAAAGAGAGTTCTGCACGCCCTAAAACCATCGTCCGGGTTCTAAAAGGACACATCTGATACGGTGCATATATATTTTTTTGGCTTATCTTAGTCTTGACCGACCTTAGACAGAATTAATTCTCTCTTGTATACATATCTTGCAGCAGCATATAGCAATATATATATCGTCAACCTAACTCAGGCTCCGTTTGAGTTCGGTAGGGGCAGAAAAAAAAAACCTTTAGCATATGATTAATTGAGTTATAATTCTTTTAAATTTTAAAAATAGATTTATCTAATATTTTAAATCAACTTTTATTTAGAAAGTTTTCGTAATGTATCGTTTAACCATTTTAAAAGCATGCTAACAAAAACTAAAGTAAAATCTGTATATTAAACAGATAAAAACGGGGCTTAGCGTGTCCCCTCATCTGTATCATCTTTTATTTCCTTTTCTAAAATAAAAAAAAAGAAAAAAAAACCTAACTCAGTGTCCCAGTCGCTCGCTATATATGACTCACTATGCATACGTGTGGCCGCACCCGCACTTCACCTGCACGGCTGCACTGCACGTACAGCGCAACGGTTTTGTGTTGCGCGGTCGCCGTCCCCCTCTCCGCGTCGAGGGAAAACTTCGCCCTCCTTCTTCCTCCTCCTCTTCTTCTTCTTCTTCT